GAATGTTCCTTAATTATTACCGTCATATACCCTTAAGATATTGGCAGGGATTAGAAATTATCCTCAACACATACTCGAGGCAAAATGATAAGAAGAGAGCTTATTGCCTCTTAAAAAAATGGAGGTTTCAAACTCGATTGATACATGCTGACACTTGAAAATAAAAAAATTAAAGACAAACCCGAGTTTCATGGGCACAAAAGCGATTATGCCTCCCACAGTTCTTAAACAAAATTGTGTATTCGTCATGAATGTTGTACGAATTATCATGAAGAACGATTCGCATGGAATCGAGTGTACCAAAGTACTTTTTCGTATGGCAACGGAGTATGTGCTTTTCATTAGAGAGACTGTCTCATTAACTGGCTAGGGATCGATGTAACACAACCAGCAAAATTAACGTTTAAGTTTACATCAGAGGTCCCACGGATGCCGTTCGTTATCTAATTTTTCCTCAGAAATGAAGTTTGTATTATGAAGAAAAAAAGCCCCAACAATAATTCTATCCTGTTCAATCGTTCAAGAAGTTTAACCATAAGTGCAAATTTACGCACTGCTACGCTTTATTTTTGCAAAAGGTTTTTCTATTTTTTTTATGAATCTAGCAGAGCTAAGAATTCGGAAATGCTGTTTTTAAACTTGCCTACCGCTTGCATCTGTTTGGGCCTCTACTGTGATTGCAGGTCCTATTCCTCCAGAGCTTACCGCCGACACATGAATGACATACATGGTATAGATAGTCAGGTTGGCCAGCGTTGTGACATTTGTCGGGAAGTTTTCTCTCACAGCATTCATGCTATTATTTAAATCAACTGTGTGGTAAGTTATAATGTAACCAATGGGTTTCCCCTGAAAATGTTCTTCTGGTAGGTGACTCCATCTTACTAGCAGACTCGTGGAGCTGGAATTGTGAGAAATTACCATGTCAGGAGCTCTTGATGGAGCTGGGTAAAAAAAAAATAAGATCAGGAAGATTAAAACATTCCTAAATTTTTTAAATATAAATATTTTATGAGAGAAAAATGAAGAAATCCATCAAAAATTTAATGGCATTAATACACTTCCATGTTGAAAACTCACTTAATGTATCGTCTTACAAGAAATTATCAGGCTTTCCTTAAATCAGTGAATCATGGAAGGTAAGTTGATCTACTAAAAAACTTTGCCCTTTTCAATGACTTTAACATGAAGAAAATATACATATATTTTCATCATAGATATTTAATTTCATTAAAAAATTGGTTCTACTTGAAAATGTTCTTCCGCTACGTGCCTCCATTTTACAATTACTCTCGTGCAACTGAAGCTGTTGGCGGTTAACAAACCAGTAGCATGAACGGAAGCTATAAGAGGATAGAAAATTACATAAAAATGATCATCATTCCAGAATATTTTTAATGTCACAGATCGTAACAAGGAGACTTGCCAATGAACAACATATTTTCGTCTACTGCATAAAATGATCAAGATTCCCCCAATCTATTGTTCAGGCTATGGGTTCAAGGGCGTAGCCGGCTTTTCGAATTTTTGTAAACCTGTACCTATAGAAAGTTCAATTTTTCAAAATTTGCAAGAGTTATCTTCTGACAGTTAAGCAGACGGAAATACCTCGTGCGTCTGTTCGAGCCCTTGCTGTGTTTGAAGGTCCTATTCCTCCAGAGCTTACCGCTGACACATTAATGACATACATGGTATAAACAGTCAGGTTGGTCAGTGTCGTGGTATTTGTCGTGAAGTTTTCCCTCACAACATTCATATCACTATCCAAATCAACTGTGTGGTAAGTTATACTGTAACCAATGGGTTGTCCTTGAAAATGTTTCTCTGGCAAGTGACTCCATACTACTACCAGTCCTGTGGAGCTGGTGTTTTGTGCTACTACGAAGTCAGGAGCTCTTGATGGAGCTATAAATAAAAATAGTATTCGGAGGAATATGACTGTCCTGAAGATTTTAAAAATAGAGATACCCTAACCTAAAGTTAGTATAGTAGAGACAGGCTGCTGGATAACAAAAACACATTATCAAGTATGAGACGTAAGAAGCTTCATTTCTTTAAATTGTATTTTAGACAGTTTGCCAGCATGATATGAAGAAAAATTATCTCACTTTCCGTTATCACTGTCGAATAAACGTACCCTCATCCATCACATCACTTTTTAAAATCGTAGAGATACAAGGAAGACCTCTTTCTATTGCTACTATAATCATAACTTTTTAATCTTCATCTACAGCAGAATCAGTACTCCCGCTCGATTAAGCGCCTTCCGTCCAACAACCACTCCTTTTTTAGCCGAACGCTTATTCAAGGAAATACAGCATTAACATGTTATCAATTTTTAATTCTCACTGCTGACCAATGGCAAAAATCAGACAGTTCAAAATATCATAATGCAGCAATCCCATAGAGGGTTAAGAGAGAAAGTTTTACAGATAGTGAGTTTGCTAGAAAAAAGTTCCAGGTTTTATTTACATGTACTATCTGGCTATCAAGGAACTCTTCCGTTTTTCTCTCCACATAAATAAATTTGTCGGTAATGAGTATATTTTCATAAAGCTCTCTTAATTTTCAAGATAACTATACCTTCTGCGTCTGTTCGGGCCTTTGCTGTATTTGCAGGTCCCAATCCTCCAGAGCTTACCGCTGACACGTTTATGACATAGAAGGTGTACACACTCAAGTCGCTCAGTGTTGTGGAGTTCGTTGAGAAATTTACACTCATAACATTAATATCATTTTCTGAATCAGATGGGAAGTACGTGATGCTATAACCAATTAGTTGACCCTGGAAATCGTCCTCGGGTAGGTGAGTCCACTTAACCACCAAACTTGTAGAACTGGTGTTGAGAACGGTTACCAATTCAGGAGCCCGGAAAGGAGCTAAGAGGGATCGATAAAAACCTTAATGCTGTCACAAATGTAGACCCAAGTACCGAAGGAGTACAGCAGATCGCCCTTTCCCTTTAGACATCAGATAATATGATACGAGAGGAAAAATCTTTTAATTATTAAAACACAGCAGTCTAAGCGATTTTTCAAAGAAAGGACAATTTCATTGCGCTAAGAAAGGTTAATAGAAAAATTATGAGCCTTTTCACAATTACAGAAGGTATCATAAAGAATTTCTTTCCTACCTTCCGCGCGTGTTTGAGCTTTGACTGTGTTTGCAGGTCCTATTCCTCCAGAGCTTACCGCTGACACATTAATGACATACATGGTATAAACAGTCAGGTTGGTCAGTGTTGTGGTATTGGTCGTGTAGTTTACTCTCAAAAACTTGACATCACGCTTTAAATCAACTGGGTAATAAGAGATAATGTAACAGATAGGCAGTCCATGAAAATCTTCCTTCAGCAGATGACTCCATCTTATTATCAGACTTGAGGAACTGTAGTTGTGAGTGGTTACCAGGTAAGGAGCTCGGGAAGGAGCTAAAGAAAGTAAAAAGATTTGAATAGAAAATTATTCAAGACAAAAGTCCTGTCCGTCAAGTTGGGACATTTCACCTCCAAGTTTCGCCATAAAGATTTGAACTGATTAATGGTGATGAGAAAGTATTAATAGAGAACTCGAATGAAAAGAACATACATCTAAAAATGGATCAAGCAAACATCGCATGGCGGTATCGTTCGTCATAAAAACGGACAACACAGACTAACTAACACTTAACCCACAACCTAAAATCTTAATCATATGAGGACTACTAACTATTCAAACAAGTCAGAAAAATATCTCTTAAATATTGAAGCACACTGAATATGCAGAAACGTTTTAGAGAAGCACGAGTTTGTCTCGATGTTTACGGCCTTCCATGCAACTAGTGAAGCTTTTCCGTTTCTTCCTCAATTATTGGTTCTCTACTTTGTTTTGTTTGCAGGTCCTATTCCTCTAAAGCTTACCACTGACACGCAAATAACGTAGATGGCCGCGGGAGTAAGGCCTTAAAGCTAGAATAAAGCGGCGTGGGGATGACATTCAGGAGAAGGGAGTTCCATACCTTAGGACTTAGGGGGAGGATCGTAAATACTTTTGTGTCTTTTTTTTTCCCACAATAACGTGGACGAAAGTTACTAGCATTGCAAATATTGTACATATAAACTTGCCAATTTGTAGAAAACTGTCAGGGAGAAGGTTGTTGTGATGAATCCATGAAAAAAAGCAACAAGGAAGGCATAAATGTTAAATATAACAAGTATTTTAACACTGTGAAACAGAATGCTGTATGAGCAAGATTTTAAGCTGTGCATAAAATTCTGACGATGTGGTAAGTATAGTATAAGGATAACACAGATTTCGAAGAAAGACAGAAACAAGAATAATTGATAATTCCGTTACATTTCAGAGATTGTGACAGGTTTTATATGTATAGCGCTTGCGCTGGACGGTTTTGGAGGAATATTTTTATTTTAAATGTCTCTAAATTTGTTAAGATAGGATTCCTTATGAATCGTTGCACAAAATAACGAAACATACGTCATTACTCCTTAAAAATGTTGTCCTAGAATGAGCGAATAATCATCTTAACGAAAATATACCATCATCGCGGACAGCATATTATGAAAATCACTGTACCATGATGTTAATTAGTATTCTCGTTTACTCCGAGAAAAAAAAGAAGCTTTGAACTTCTTTGATCTATATCTTAAAAAGTAATCTGAGCATTAATTTGATAAAGGTCTGTGATTTGGAATCGAGAAGGAATGACCTGAATGTTCCCAAAGGGTGTATAAATCGTTGTATCAAATTTGAAATGAAAGGAGAAAACAGTTAAAGATGAAGTGCACTTTAAACAAAGGTTAACCAGGTAGGAAATATAAAAAAGGTCTCATAATTCTAAAGGCTAAAAAGAGAAGAATCATCGTAATGACTCATGGAAGCCAACAGACCAGAATTAAGACGAAGGCCGACAGCGATCATCATTAGGGTAACTTTAAACGTAGTGGCTATATGGTTTCAAGAGCGTCAGAGGTTGTAAACCGTTCAAAAATGATACAACAACATTAAATCAACCCGAAAAGTTGTTTACCTGGTTCTGGCTTGGTGGTTATGATGATGCTTTCCTCGTTTTCTCCAGGGATCTCTTCAACTGTTAAATCATGGAATGGTAGCACGCTTATCGTGTACGTAGTGTTGCCACGCAGACCTTTTATGTGAGCGTAGGTCACGTTCCAGGGGACAACCAACTCACTGAGACGGACATTCTGCACATTAATTCTATAGCCGAGAATAAAGGACTCTGGGACTGGATTCCAATCCACTCGGAAACTCTCAAATGTGACCTCACTTGCTCTGAGTCCAGTTACGTTTGAGACAAACACTGAAACAATCACCCAAAAAAGGACGTAAGTACACAAAACCTTGGCCAAAACTCAGCCATCTTGACCGAACAAGCTTAGTCAATAAAGGATTTACGACATAGCAAAAAATTTCCGTTTGAACAACAATCAATATTGACTTCTTTATTTCGAGAGCTGGAGAAGAAGGCCAACTGCGTTTGTAGCATAATCAAACCCACAAAAGTCGTTTAAGTATCCGTATTTCGACATGTTTCTGCCGCTTTTTATGACTGCGTTTGTGGCACAATTAAACCCACGAGAGCCGTTTATGTTTTCTTTGTTTTGACCTGTTTCTGCCACTTATCATGACTCCAATGCAGACATTGGCAAAATTTAATGAAGAGCTTTGTAAGTCCGCTCGACGCACTTTTTTCCTTGAGCAGGATCGAAGCGGGAAATCCCGAGCGAGCAAGATTGGCCCATCTATTTAAATTCATTTGCAATATCATATTTCGTCACTTACTTCTCTATTTTCTGAACTAGGTATCCACGAGATTAACACTCTGTACTTTGGTAGTATCTTACTATATATATGCTGTGGTTAATTCAATGTTTTTTTCACTGCTGAACATTTTCCTAGTCTGTTTAATCGTATTTCTTTTGCATGATTAATTTATTCTTAAAACAATGTTTTTAAAAATTTAGTTGCCTTGGTCATTCAAAACTGGAAGAATAATGTTTTGCGTTTTTAAAGTTAGAGTGAGGTGACTTAAACAATTGTTTAATAATAAATCAGTCCAAAAAAACTCACAGATAAACGGACAAACAACAAGATGACGAAAGTGGAGCTGTTAAAATCAGCACTTTTGCGAATAAAAAGAATACACAAGAAAAAGGAAGATTTAATACAAAGATAGATAAAATGAACGTTAATAAAGCGATGTATCAATAGACGATCAGCTGAACGAGAAAATGATGGATAGCCGCAGAAAGACTAAAGGTCAAAGAGATTTTCTTACATGTGAGACGATAGACGTCAGATACGTTTTGTCCTCCTCTACCTCCTAGACACCCTCTTGAAGCATTTAGTCTATGTAATACGTAGGGCAAATTCTTGTCACCAAGGCATTCACTGCCATTGCGTACGGCGAACACTTTAAGACCAAGTGACCACGCCACAGATCTACAGGCGTTGACAAGTTCCACCGGAGGATCTTGATGTCCTGATATCCGTTTGCTCTTAATGTAGAAGCAACCAATTCTCTTGAGGAACACTTGTTAAATAGAATGGAGATTGAGTGGTAATCGCTCGCACATTCGCTACTCCATTTCGATAATTAGTCAAACAAAGATAATACTTGATACTTGTGAATTATTAAACGACTTTAAGTGAACAATTGCGTTTGTATATACTACGAAAGGTATTTCATAACCAGCAGACCACAATATCAATTCAATTCCAAATACATACCGACATATGATGGCAAATTATAACCGTAAAAATATCGCCGCGCGCTGCTTAGCGTAAGAAATTTCTAATTAATAAATAAAGAAGCCTTGACTGTATTTTAATCTGCTCACATGAGTGAACATGCAGGAAGCGCGATAGATGTGTAGGGAAAACACTGACGGGACTTAGTCGCGTGTTTCCCCACTTCTTGAGTACTCCAACCGCTCCCTAAGTGCTTTCTTTCTCCTCTAAGTGCTCAACAGAACAGAGCGCAGTCGAGGTTTCTTTATCTGTTTTATGATGAAGAAAAAATTACTTTCCCCACCGATTCGTATAATTTTCTTAACAAACTTTATTTTCCAAACGAACAGTCGTGGCGTGAGCCTGCATCTGAACAACATAAGGCACATTAAAAGAAGCCAATCAGAATCCTCGTTAGAATGGTTCAAATAACTTGATTGGTTGAATAATAATTAAGCTAAATAAAGGCGGTGTGGTGTGTGAATGAAAGACTGTCGAATTCATAGGAACATGAAGATCGCTCGAGGTGATGGCGTCTGGAAAATTGAGCTGCTGTGACAGCCTAGGCCTCACACTCAACGAATCGGAAAAGGATATCGGAACAAGCCCTTACTTGCCCACTCAAAGAGCGGACTTTGTAATTTCTGAGGCTTGCTTCATTGCCATGACCAGAGATTGCCACAATGAGCTGCGATGGAACTTGCGCGTCGGACCACAACTTGACGGCCCTGACTCCATGATTTGTATACAGTGTTGATTTATGTCAGTTTGGATCTATTTTCGCATTTATTTTTTGTTTTGTTTTGTTTTTGAACACGAAACTATATATGCAATAAGTGTGTTAGCTGTTTTTGAGTTTTATTACCCCACGTACTTAAGTTAATGACCATCTTAAAGCGTAATACTGACTGAAAGCATTATACACAATACTTTAGTCGATCCTGTTTTAAACAAACACTCAAGAAAACAGATTTACTACCTTTTTTAATGAAAGAAATATGGAACATTGTTCACTCACCAAGATGAGGCTGAACAAAGCACTTTAATGTGTTATCAACTGCGTCGCCGTCAAAGCAACAATCACGTGCTAGACAGTCCTCTTTTGTGATGTTTGGCAATCCACATTCGATTCTACTGGGAAGAGCTTTAAGGGAACAATTACCTAGAATAAGCGAAAAGAACTGTAATATTGATAAGGTGGGTTTAATTCAGTTAAGTGATGATTTTATTGTCTTAATCACACGAAAATGAAGATACCTTATTTACATGTTTATCGCGGGCAAGGCTGAGAGGGAAAGAAACGCTCCCATTCTTCTAGTAACATTCCTTAACGCGTAAAGTGATTAAAAGCTTCATTATTGCTGGGTTCTGCTCAAAAAGCTCTCGCTCGCCGGCCGGGTTCTCTTCTGTTTGTCTTAGGGGCAGGGTTACCTCTTATAGTCACAACCCTTAGCCGTTCAAACGCACGAGTTTTTCGAGGATATTGGGGCAGGGTTTTGGATGTCAAGCCATCCAACCATTCCCAAAAGACGAAGTAAATTCGTAGAAGTAGCAACGTCTCAAGCCAAGCTAAAAAAGTAAACAAAAGCGAAAAGACCTGCGGCCAACGAGGTCATGGACAAGACCGAAATCCGCTTGTGGTGCGGGATGTTGAATGCACGAATCAAGCAGAACGAAGACGAAACTTTACAGACTGGAAAAAGCAAACCCCATGAATAAGAGTGAGTAGCATCGAGATAACCAAAGGCTGCAGATCGATGTATACTGGGGTGTAAATGAAGGCCTCAAAGAAGCCTTCGAAAAGAGCCGAAATGGCAATACTTATTGGCTAGAAGACACAGGAGAGCTTGATTCAGTTCGTTTCTCGTGTTTTCAGTGAAACGTTAGTTTAACAAGTGTATGCAGTAGGTGATGGGAAGGATGAAACCTGCCATCAAGTTTACGCAACATTAGACATAAGCGACAGATATGATGGTCCATGTTATGGGCGAACTGAAGGCAAAAGTCTTAGATGGTTATAAAAGATATGAAACAGACAAAATGAAACCATAGATTAGGCATCGCAAAGATAATATTCAAAGCCTGGAAAACTACAGGATTTCCCATGAATGCCGTTATTTTTAACGGGCGAGACTGGACGAGAAGCTATGCACAGATACCGCGCGCCGTTCCTAAGCTCACCCACAATACCGGGTACTGACCGCTTTGGAGCAAAGCAAAGTTTACGGGTCGTGGTCTCTATTATAAAACGTGCACATTGCATTTATGATTGAGGCTTTTCGCCTTCGAATCCATGGTTACATCCCTAATAGCTTTAGTGAAATAGAAATCCTACAAACATGAAAGCCGACGATCAAGGTACACACACAGGAGAGGTGTGCACCAGTGAACCACTTGGGGAACGTGATCACTGGTTGAAAATTGACCAATTACAGCAAAGCATAGTAATTCTTAAGCATCAGTCGATGTCATCTTCTCAGAGAGAATGGCAGTATGCAGCCGAAACATTGTAATCCATGTCGGAATTGAATAACTCATAAAGGAATTTGACTAAGAATTTGTAAAGCAGAAACAGCTGCATTTTACTAAAAAATTACCTCCCAAGAGTTCTTTAGCCTTCATTGATATCCTAACGAAACGCACCATTCTGTTCGGGATTGCCACAAGACAATCGTCTCCATACCACCAGGCTCCTTTCATTTCCATGACGCACGAGCCATCTAAATCGTCATTATCACGATCCCAAGTGGAAAACGCAGAGTTGTTGACGGCTGAAAGGATGTTAGCCATATTGCCTCGAAAATTTCCCACCTGAAGAATATAGTTAGTAGAAGGACTTGACACCTGAAAATTGTCATACTCCCCAAACAGCGATTGGTCTCCCCAGTAAATATCGGGTAATTCAATTCTTAGCACATGTCGTCTATTTAACGTTATGGCATGCATGTATTTATTTCCCACCCAGAACCCAACGCCAGGTTTACCAAAACCGTTTTCAAAAGAAACCCAGTTTCTTGAGAAGTTTACAGTAGTATCGTTACGCTGTTGAAGTAGGATCCATCCTCCATCCGCTCCTTGCATGTCACACCACGCGCGAATGTAGCTCATGTTTCCGGGCAATACAACCATTTTGGGTTTGTGTATTCTGTAATAGCCTGTCGTGCGCCTTCCAAGGATGAAAAGTCTTGCACAGCTTATTCCTAGCAACAGAGCATCGTGAAAATAGGCTAGTCTCGCTGAGGAATTAAAGAGGAGGCTAAAACTCCTCCTCAAAATTCATTCATATGCCTCTATCGACACACTTGACGGTCATGTCCTCGCTATTGTTTTCCTTCAAGAAACAGGGTGTGCCTTGCCTCAAAAACGTATGATAATTTTGAATTCTTTATTCACGAGAATTAAACGTTTTGTAAGTGGAAGCTTCCCTTGTTTCATTTTTATTTTCCTCATTTCACCTAATCTCAATCGGAGGAGTCTTCTCAAGGTACCGAGGATCAAACTCACCACATTTGAAATCCTCGATATGAAGCGTTTGAACTTCAATTCCTCTCAGATGTGGTGGATGGGCACACGTGCCAGTCACCTCGGCTGTCCAAAGGGAAGGAGTTATTCCACAGTCACACTCCAGAGGGTTATTGTCCAATAAACTATGGAGATAAATATCATTACACGAGCTTTATAACGTATAATTTGGTTTTATCAACTGTGTTAGTAATCTAAATTGGCCACCATAAAGAGATCAAGAGTTTCTAAAGATGACGTTCCGAGAATTAGTAAATGGGGCAGGTTTCTAAAGAAACTGTTGTACTGCGTCGGTGGGAGAGTATAACAGTTAATCGGAAATTGGTCCCCGTAAAGAGTTTCAAAGCTGACGTTTCGAGTCAGAACGAATGGCGAAGGGATAATACTCGAAACGTCAGTTTTGAAATTCTTTACGCTGGCCAATTACGTCATCGTTATCATCATCATCATCATCGCTCGGATGAGGCGCATAAGGCCGTCACATTGTCCTCCCATTCCCCCCCCCCTTTTTTTTCTGATTCGATCAGAAAAAGGTAGCCGTCATAAACAGTCTCCTGAAGGAGGGAAGAGGGGAGAGGAGATGGGAGAAGAGAGGGGCCTAGGGGCCAAAGGGATAAAAGGAACACTCCACTTTCTATAGTCCCCCCCTATGTACTCTGTTAGCGACCACTGATCTCCCCTTTTTTCCCCTAGAAAATCATGTGATTCCCCTCAAACATCCTTCGGACTCCTCTGGTCATAAATAATTGCATTTCTCTTATCCTCTTCCACGTTTGACGACTGACAGTTAAACCAGATTGAGACTCTTTAATGGGAAGTTTCAACGGGGTGACTACTTTTAATTTTCTGCTAAAAGTTTTGAAAGGTTTGAGCTGAAGATGAGAGTTCCAGTGGTTTATCTGAGGGCTTGTTTCCCCGAAAGATTTCTATAGGGTTGGTAATTGGTAAGCACATGAAACATGTCTATATATTGGACTAACTATCCTTATACATAATCTTTTGCTTTCTGTATGTTTAAGAGCGTCTATCTACATGACCTCTCAGAAAAGAATGATCAGTGCTCGAATCTTAAATTGTGCTCATACGATCAACATACTTTAAACCCCTACTGACATTTCTCGATTATGTGACTGTGGCAAATGCACAATTTTAAGACAATATCTGATGGAGTCCCATCATACTTAGAGTGTCCATGTCATAAAAGAAAGAAAGAATGTTAATTATATGGGTGCTCAGACTGTTTTTTTCTCTTAAGGCAGAAGATTACGTCAAACTTACACTTTTGATAGCCGCCCGAGGACAAGTTCCACTTGAATACTGCCTGGTGTGGTAATAAGATTGCCTCGAAGATCTCTGCATCGAGAGAATACGTACAATAATTATGCATAGAAAAATCATATGTGAATGGAGGTGACCCTTTTGAATAGATTATTGCCAGGAACCATGTAATAGAGAACAGGCAATAACTATAACATTTCTGTCGAACCTGTAGTAATAGCACTGTGCTAAGCGGTCAGCCTATATTAAGTAGTTGGTTGTCAAAGTCCTGAAAGTTTTACTGCTTAATTGCTGTAATTTTCATATCTATTAAGCGGTAACGTCTCTGAGGCAGTCGTGATCACCCTTTACTGAGTCCCAAAGGCCCGGTTTGTATTGTCTTCTACCTGTATTGGATGGTCATTTAAATCGGAGCAACTCACATAAAACTAAGAATAATCTTTCTCATAAAATTTAATCCACATTTATCTCCCGAAATCAATGTTGATAGTATTATTGAGAAAATTTTTGTTCATTAGATGGTCAATTATAGCTTAAAATGACCCTTTTTTCATTTCTTAATAATTCCCTATTCTATGGAAACCGTATTAAACGGTCAACTTGTATTAGGAGGCCCCAAGCCATTACTCCGTGGGATAACCGCTTAATACAAGTTTGACTGTACGTAGCAAAAAACATGAATTAATTCTTGATCAAAATCACCAAATCAGTCGACAAAAAGGAATCATGAAGTCGTTGTGCAAAACTCGTGATAAATCAATCATCTAATGCATCAAGAACCGAAAGAGAGTTGCATGAAAGAGAGTTGCATGGGGCGGGGGGGGGGGGAGGAAGGGGTTTCTGATTCCTGGTCGCGCACGAATTGAGGTTTTCACAAAAGATAAGTAAAGATTCACAGGTCACGTATATTTCAAGGGGCAAGTTATGCTCACCCTGGTTCATTAATTCACGGATCGATAGGTATTATAGTTCGGTCTCGCTTTTTCCTATCCTCTACAACCAATATCACTTTGTACAACACCATCATTTATCCATATATTGTGTATTGTAACTCCACCTGGTTGTAAATAGAATTTATTGTTTGGAAAAAGCAAGCTGTACGGGCTATAACCAATTCAGACTATCGATTGCTCCTCTATTCTCCAAACTAGGAATTTTAGATATCAGTCCAAGTACGGCAATACGTTTGAAATCGCCAAATTCATGTTGTTTTTTTTTTTTAAATCATAATGACCTATTGCCCCTACTGCAGACCAGCCAGTAATTATCGAAAGCATTCGTGTCGTACAATTCTCAAGCAATTTACAATCTTATACCAAGGTCCTTAAATTTGGACCTTTCTTCTAATGACCTTTAACTGTCACCACGGTTCTTGTTTTGCATCAGAACGTTAACAATCGAAACGGTTTGTGCCCTGAGCTCGATGTTTTTCGCTCACTTGAAAGGTGTTATTTAAAGCAACGATGAATATTACAAATTGTAACAAGCTATAGTTTATTCTCGGTTAGTATTCTGAATATAGCGTTGCGCCCGGGCAAGTTCGGCCCGACCAATTATCACGGTGTTCGCCCTTACGATGCATTTGCATATCGGAGTTATGACTTGCTTGGTCTTTCAAATTATTATTTTCAAGTTCGGTGCATGGTTCAGTCTAATTTTAAATGGGTTTCCCCCAAAAAATGAAATTTGAATAAATAGACATGCCCATAGGGAGTTCACCTTATTCTCCATCGTACTTCAATAGATACAGCTTTTCGTAACACTTACAACACTTGCAGCAGTTTGAAACGACGAAGAGCTATCAGCGGCAAGAGGCTGGATATTCTGTTGTTCCTAAGAATTCTGGAGAGATACAAATAAAACCGGCGCCAACATAGATGGATATGCATCTAATTGGAAACGAAATAAAAAACTTTAAAACCAGTAAGCCAACAGTACAACCTCTATTGGGGAGATTTTTTATTTGAGAAATCGTAACGAATTTTTCTAACGTATACGGTGCTCTAAAAATGTTAACTGAAGTTCATAGATAAGTAGACAGATCACCATCCGTCGACTGCAGCCTAGCTTAGCGTGATAGAAGAGCGAAGTCGACAAATTTGAAATGCCAACACTCAATCACTAAGTTTCAGCTGAGAGATTTCCATTGTGAAAGATCTCCGTGTAACCCCATGCCATTCTAAAACAAAGCTGTAGCCCCAAAGGTAATTTATTGTTTTTGCCATTGTTTTCTCCCTTCAGGAACTGTGTGCATAATGAAGTATGGGGCTGAGCGGAAATTTTTCCGTTGCTTTCATCATAACTCTAGTCGAGAGTTCTATGGGCCTCATCTGTGATAAAGGGGATATTGTCCTAGGTATACGCCACTGAATTATTTTCGGAATAAAAAAAAAGTAAGTAAGTAAAAGTTTCAGGACCTAGCATACATCCTTTTTTCTACTTACATATGTGTTGTCGTTTGAGGAAAATCGGACACAATTTCATCAAGCCTATCACCAGCAGAGTGGCATTTCACAGTCACATTAACCTTTCCTTGACATGTACAGTTGCCTGCTTCTGAGCACAAAAACCCGGACTCGAAAGAGCTATCTTCACCGTCAAAGGGGCCTTCAGCTTTGTCGTCTCTGCTACCTCCCTTTTGTGCCCAGAGTTGCCTTGGAGTTAAGGTGACGACAAACATCCATAGAGCAAAGATGCAAATGCCTTCGAACGCTGACATCATTTACTATTACGGTGCAGTGCCAGCGCCACACAGTTAAGAAAAACCCTGATAAAATGGCAAAGAGGCAAACTAACTGTCTCACCCACTGTAACTATTCGTTGCATAATTCGCGTAAATGAGTGTTTGTGAATTGCGAATAATCGAAAATAAAACAAATGACAGCTCATTGGCTCATTTAAGGTGATATTTTGATTACCTCAAGTTTTGAGTGAGCATGACGACCCGCTTAAATACCAACCGCGTGGTTTCGAACAATTCTCTAGGGGCGGCAAAAAGCAAAAAGGCAGTAAAATATGCACAATTAAGCGGTTTTTACGAATTTACTCATTGAATGTAATCTTTCTTTAGTTTACCTTAGTAAATTCGTTATTTAAGCTGTTAATTTTTATCGTTCCGTAGTGTAGCAGACTAGAACGTAAAACAGTTTAAGATAATCGGAAAGGGTCTCCTTCTAACCCTAGACACTAATATGCAAACAGTTTTTTCTACTAAAAGAATACAATAGCGAAAACAAAAGATCGCGCTTTACTTTAGTTCTTCAGAGGCAAGTCTCTCACCATTTTGAAAATGGAAAAGCAGAGGTTTTTCTAATCTTTAAGTTTTGTTAGATGAAATACTAAAACTATTTACATTTCTACCTTACTTAAAAATACCAAGATTCTTCAAAGTACTAACATTAGCGACAATACTAAGGGACAGGTCATTGTTTTTCTCATGCGTGGAGAGGGGGTAAGGTTCGAGGATCTGATCCCCCATAAAGCTCTGTAAGATTTCTATGACACCCTGTACGTATTCGTATGAAGCAGTATGTATCCATGCATGCATGCGTAGAATGCATGTTACTCGTAGTACTCGTGTGGTGTTTTGGTCACGATCCTTATCAGAAGGCTCCCTGAGCGAACCTTAGCAGGAACTTGCGGCCTGTAATTGCACTGTTTCGTTGTGCACGAGTCTCAAATGAGGAAAACGAGAGTGAAGTGCCATCATCATTGTCATTATATGGAGTTTTATCGGGATCGGGGCGTTCGGAGCGAATTTGCAGCGTGTAATTTCCGGTGGATCCGTTTGGTTGACGTTATACATTGGGAAAGGATTACATGTAGAGGGCCACTGGAATGAACTAAAGTGAGCCCAAAGGCCTCAAATCAGCCCAGATAATTCACAATATACCAAAGGACAATCTCCGGAGCCAGGTACATATGAGATTGTTCTTATTTTAAACTGGTTAAGATGTTTAGATGAAGAATGTGATTGTGTGCACATTTAAGGAGGCTCATGGATCAAGATATTGTGTGAGTTTGGGCTTCCTGTGTCACAGTGTTTTGGGTATTCCTCCGTCAGGATGCTATAGATAAGGCAAGAGAGTTGTAAAACGTCTTTCGAAAAGTTAAGAAAAAAATTGTTCGACTCTACTCGTGATACTGAAATGTTATCTTTTCCGGTTGCAGTTTTGCATTTCTGTGGTTTTTTTTCTTCCAGAAACTTACCGTCTTATAAGATTCAAATATAATGACGCAGCCACCACTGGAAGAGGATTGCACATCTCTGGGAATTTGGGTATCCCCACTTCTTTCTCTGAACTCCGGTTTTTACAAGCATTAGTTCTCTTTCTGCAATTTTTGTAATGAGTGTTTGGGTATAATCAGAAAATTATGTGAGAAATGGCAATACACATAGTTCACATGACTGAGAACTTTTGTATAATTAACCCTTTACACCCTATCATCAGTTTGTGCATTTTCTCTATACTGTTCTCTATACATTTCCTAGGGTGCTGACACGGAGAATTTGTGCACAAATCAGGAGCTTCTTTAATTGGTGATCATTTTTTTCCTTCTAATCGTAATTGATCAGCAGGGATTTGCTAAAGCAAAGGCATAGAAAAAACCAGGAAAGATTTATTACTCGACGTTTCGGGGTCATCGTGACTCCATTATCAAGAGACTAGTTTAAAAACATGCAAATAAGGAAAGGTACAAGAATAGCATAAATTAGAATGAACGGCTTAAACAAACACCTTGGCGCGGATGGAATCCGTTTGCACGTTCAGTGTTGGCTTACGCATGCGAATATACAACATTTCATTAACAAGGCAATCAAATTTGCCGTTACATTTCGCGATGACGTTGAATTGCTCGATCAAGCGTTCAGGCATTTCACTATTGTGCTGGAGGTGGTAGTGTTTGTAGATAGAAGATGATTTCCTTGTGTGCCCTTCTACGCGCTCGTGTAAGTGACCACGAGTATAGCCCACATACCCTGCATCACACAGGTTACATTTAAATTCATAAACGATACATTGTTGGTTGTATATTCGCATGCGTAAGCCAACACTGAACGTGCAAACGGATTCCATCCGCGCCAAGGTGTTTGTTTAAGCCGTTCATCTTAATTTATGCTATTCCTGTACCTTTCCTTATTTGCATGTTTTTAAACTAGTCTCTTGATAATGGAGTCACGATGACCCCGAAACGTCGAGTAATAAATCTTTCCTGGTTTTTTCTAATCGTAATTGGGTCGTGATAAACAGGATAATATGACAGTTTCCCACGAAGTCTGATGATATTGAACGGGATTCACTAGAAACTTGGAAATTCTCTCCTCTGAATCTCATAGTGACTGTGAGGGTATACAAACAATTTATTTGGATTGTTGTATGCAGGTACGGAGAATGGCCATCATCCGTCTGGGTAGGGATACCCTCATCACTAAGAATTGGGCATCTCCTTTTAATTCTCAATCTAGAAAAGCAATAATATTCGTTTTCACCAAACTTATTTGACTGTAATGCGTGGCAGCCAGAAGACAACAACAACAATGTAGGTCATTCAAATTTCAAAATATGACTGGTATTGACTAATAAGTTGGTAACTAAATTGTAAGGGATACCAATATCGTCATCAAGATTTGGTTTATGTTCCCTCCTCAGCATGAAGAGGTAATTAAAACATTGACTTCCTTTTCCCCAGGTTTTTCTAGCGTGATCGTCTGTATAAAATAACAATGACTAAATGACTTTATTATACAATTGAAAATAAGCAAGTTGTTATTTATCAAGGGGATGTCAGGAAATTGGCGGGCATATTAGAAAGGACACCCATATCACTAGGAATTTGGGTATTCCCTCTTTTTGTTAAGCTTGGAGAGCAGAACGATATTTTCCTTCTCCCCTGTAAGGCCGACAGTGAAATTTGGAAAAAAGGAAACGATGGGTATCACAAGAATCGGAAATTGGACAGTTTCTTACCAATAAATCTTCTGCTGTATTGGAAAGGATAACTATAACAGTAGGGATTTGGTATCCCACCTTATTTACTGCTCAGGGTAGAAACAAGCAATTTAACAAAAAACCCTTTAGTCGACTATGTCCAAAGTGCTTCTAATTTCTGAACAAATTTTCATTTCAAAGCATCACACACACAAAAAGATTAATGAGCAAAATAAAAATGTGTATACATAATCACAGCCTGCGTCCAAAGAAAAAGGAAGATTTCATTTCTTCCTTAAGCCAAACGTAGGAAGGGATAATTCCCTAGATTTCTCCCTAGAGAGAAAACTCTTCCAGTGCAGCTGCATAACTCTCATGACTCTAACGCCTATTGCAAATGTTTTCTCGATGTAACAAACGGACATGTTTTATTATTTACAAAGATAATTGTAAGAAAAATAGCTTCTAAGAATGCAAGTGCAGTTTAAGTATGTACACTAGCTAGCAACTCAGTGCTTTAAATAAGACCCGACACCTGCCAAAGCTCCAGCGCGTATTCTGTCGTGAATCACCGGGTAAACTTTGCCATCTTCAAGTCAAATTTACAAAACAAAACAAAAAAATAAATAATATAGAAAATAATAGTCAATTTAGTACTGGAGTATTCATCTTATTTATTTTTCAAATTCCGTGGTCTTGGATTGTTAGATTCATTCTTTTACTGGCAGTTTTATTTTTCTGCTTTTTTCGTGTGCTCTACACAGACCATCATGCACAAAGTAAAAGTACACATCTTCGGTTACTTAAAATAATTTTCAAGCAACTCAGTGCACTTAACTCCTCAAATATTTTTGGACAAAGAAAATAACAACAGTTCTCAACTGCTCGTTAGAAAACAAACTTGAAAAGTGCTAAGCTTATGGTTACTGGTTAGCCAGAACATGAGTACGTATATGACTTTTCGTAACTTTTTTGAAAATCCTAGGATTTTTCCGATAAATAAAACTTGTGGAATTCAGTACCGCATATCTTATATTTCACCTAAGAAAAAAACAAAAAGCCTAACTTGTGATCACAAAAGAATGTGTTCTACGTTTTAAGGCAGAAAACTAAGAGGTTTGTTTCCAATTGCAAGGAGAAGAAAACTTAGTTAATAAAGATTATGGTGTTATCAAGAGTGTCAAAAAGTGATGTTCGCATGCAAAGCAATGGCATCTGGCATGGCCAGGTTTGGTTTGTAGAAAAGTCTGAGAGCATATTCATAAGGAAATTTGATGGTTTTTTAGACTGCCTGTTGAAATTGTTTAGTATTATGCGATGTGGGATGGTTACCATCTGAATCTTTCTGTGACTTTTTGGAAGCTTGCAAATAGACTCGCAAATTGAGACCTAAAACATCTCAAGATCTCCAGGGAAAAATAGATTTTGAGTTTTGCAAGAACATACGGACTCAGATTTCGGTAACCAGTAACCGTATATCCTTTAAGGGGACCTAAGCGTGAAACTCATGGAGCAGGTTTGCATGTCAGCAAAAGGAAGATTTTGTTCGGAAATAGAACGATCAGGTAAAAAATTGTTACAAACTGAGAAAACTAATATTTAATGATTATTTACCGTAGTTTAACACAGAAAACTCCATTTGAAGCCAGTTTATTTTGAATGGAACTAATGGGCTGACGAGAGGGAAATTGTTTTCCATTTTTTACAGCGGGTGCTTTACCAAGGTAGCCACCTACTTCAAATCTTATTGAAAGCACCAAGCGGGCTGAGCAATAGACCAACTGATCTAAATTACCAAGTAATAACTAAAGTACCAAAAATCAAATCATGACATTACTGTATACTTTTATTAGCAACAGGTAACTTAACTAGCAGGACAAGTCTGCTGATGGTAAATTTCTTGTACTAAGTACACAGGCTTGATCACAATTATGATGCAAGACTGTCTCTCTACCAATTTGCTGTGCTTGTAATTTAGAAGCGCATCACCCAGCAGTGGGTGATGTTTTCCATCAAGGCCGAAGAAACCGAATTAAAAGGAATATTCCTTGTCTACCCAATACACCTCAGAATGATTAGGACACCGAATTCCTCACTGATTTGACGTTTCATCCTGCTTGTCTGAGATCTGATCCACAGTACGCAAAGTCCTCTGAATCGGAAACAACAAAAAATCGTCCATGTATTGTTTAAGACATTACAGTACAGCAACGGTGTACCCAAATTTTATTTACAAGCGAATCAATTGACCCGTTTCTTCGGATTGATCGCTCTTCTCCTCAACGCTTCAAAAGACGTCTTATAACTCTCTTGCCTAAATACCATCCTGACGGACATTTCGAGTTATTTAACTTTTAGGTGAAATCGGAACCAAGATTTTAGACATCCTTTTCTCTTTTGGTCCAAACACATACTGAAGTTTCAAACGAATTAGGCGAAGCATTCTGGATATATTATGATACTAAAATCCGATAAAGCAAGAAACACCTCCCCAAATTTGAATTTTAATAATCTCACGTTTAGTACTTTAATCATTTACAAGCGCTCGTCACACTGGACAATTCTCTCCAGTGTATCAAAAGAATCATTGGCGCGAAATATTCAGGCACTGAGTCAAAAAATTAACAATTGAAAATCAAAATACTATCTGAATAAGACTAAACCCTCGGCACGATTGCAACCTTTTCTATAATATACATTTTGTTATTAATAGCTGAAATGATAACAAAATGAACAGGGAAACCACCAATAGCTGTAAATGTCTGAAACACAATTGCAAATTTATTAGCATGTCTGAGCACAGGCAGCCCAAGCTTCAGCTGTGAGATGATCATCTTGCGCAATAACAGTCATCGCGGAATTATACGAGTTTGTATGGGAATATTTACGACCGCTCTAAGGAATAAAAAAATACGTCAAATTCTCAATAAAAATACCTCACCTTACTTTCACAGTGTCGCTTGCTATCTGACCGCTTACTTTGATGAAAAGAGCCCATTATAGCGAGTTGTTCATTTCGAGGTTTTCAACGTACATAAAGTTCTTATGTAATAAATAAAACGCGTTTACATGCAATCTTACAACCCCACCCTGAGGGTGCTGGGGTGTTGCTGCGCATGTAATTAAGGTGTTTGAGCAGAGGCGTCCCAAGCTCAAATCACGAAAAAGACGAAAGATTAATTCTCGGACACATATGTATTTATTCATGAAAGCGTCACGCGTTGTGTTACGTGGTGTTTGGTTTCGCGAGGAACCGTTGACTTAATAAGTTATACGGAATAGTTTAGGAAACCAAATATGGTCGATTTACAACGCTAAATATTCCGAAATGTGAACATTTTACACTCCTTGTGTGTCCGTTGCGGTTTCTGGTGATTTCTGCCGTGAGACGGCTAGGAAATGTGTAAAGTTTTAAAACAAACATGTTTCGCTTTTGAGCTTTTTGCCATGAACGCAACCCCGGCTAGGCGGGTTACCCCACCTTGACACTTTTACATGGCAAATTGTCACCCCGGCTGACAGGGTTATCCTACCTGGCAGACCGGGCAACCCGCCTAAGCAGACCACCCCACCTATCATGTAAACGTGATCAAAATAAAATAAGAAATTATATGGACAGGCGGGTTACCTCACCTACCTGGGGTCCCCCACCTCCATGTAAACAGGCCCTTAATTCCCTTATCCCCAGTGAGGATACCGAAGACACCTGAAATGTTCACAGATGTTCCGTATACATCTTGTGACACCTGTATTGCGCGCAGTAAGGCTCTGGGAACAAGTAACAATTTTCCCGCCATTTTCTCAGTTGCTTTGTCTGTTTCCAAGCCGACAGAAAAGGTTTTACAGTCATCGTTTCGGTGAACTCTTCAACGCAGTAGTATTCCTTAGGTGAGGATTTTTTTTATTGTTATTTTTGCAGCCTTAAAGGAATACGTTGCATTCATTGTATGGAGAAAACCTATCAGAGGTTTTCAATCAGCACTTAGTTCGGCAACAAAGCCTGAACGACTGCGCTTTCTCCACAATTACATTGTAGGTACTTTAAGAGCAAAAACCGCAATTTTTGTTGATTTTTACGCACTTCCTCCATCTTTATATCGCGTTTATTAATGTGTCTTTAATATTACACTGGAGGCTCGATATTATGACAACTTTTGTTTTGTCCGAGATTGAAATTCCAACATATTCTTCTCTTACCCTCTTGTGGATTGACTTTACCGGTTCAAAGATCACTTTTCAGTTATTTTCCTTTCAGTTATTTACTCTAGAGGTGCAAAACTCGTCAATGGTGGAAGAAATTGATTTCTAGCTGTAGAAGGGTGAGGACATTAATGAGACGTTTAAAGTTCCAACTCTTGTGATCTGCAGAGTTTTAAAGTAAGTGTATTCAACAGAAATAAAGGGTCTAAGTTTCTAAAGAAACTGTGGCGCAGCGTTGGTGGAAGAGTGTAACAAGGTAATTTAGTATTATCAACTAAGTTGATAACGAAAATTGGCCACGGCTCAGAGTTTCAAAGATTACCAAATTACCTTATTCAACAGAAATCTTTGTTACTAAGTCAGGTCAGGTTAAAGTCTTGGAATAAAGAACTTCTTCAAGTTCAGTTAGAAGCCAGGGATGTAGCTTTGAATCAGGGAGTTTAAAACTCTTGGAAAGAAGGCCAGGGAAAAGTTAACACTTCTGTTAAAATGTACCCGTTCATCTTGTGTTGGCCCTCTTTATGATTAAAGATAATTGCACGTAACATTTTGTGATGTTGACTTTACACATGTACTTTGTTTAGTTAAGTACTTTTAATAAATTCCCAACAAGCACAATGTTTCCCCTTGTAGTGCAAGTTGAGGATGGTTTGTGAATTGAATCATATTCTTTTTTTTCCTTCTAATTTTCATACTTTTCTAAATTCTTCATTACCATTTCACTAATATAAAATGTGTTTGATTGGTCAAATATTGTTAAATGAAATTGACAGACAAGCTTATTTTGGGTTACCAAGAAAATCAATGCTTTTTCCATGTCACATTAAGGAACTACTGATCCTTGTACTCTGCATGTGACTTTCTAAAATCATAAATAATTGTGTGAAGAAGGAGGCTGTAGGGGGGAGGTTGAATACCATTATATTAAGACTCTTTTGAGAAATTGTTTAGCCTGTTGGTGTGAGTAATTTTACATTTGTCAGACAAAAGTTGGGGAATTTCAAAAACCTTAATGGTGGTGGGAACCATGTAGGCATCAATTATGCCTGCCCTTGAGTTGCAATACTTTATTAGTTACTTTTAATTAAAATTAGTAAATTAAGTCTGGCAAATATTTGTTATTGCATGTGTGGCTAAATCAATCAAAAGCTCACAAACCTGCCCTCTACAGTAGATGAGCTCTTTTATTTGGAGTCAAACTTTTGAAATTTTTGACATCCTAGTGATATTTCCACTTTGGCAGTTTTAGTCTGTGGGATGGCACACATGTATATGTATCTTAGACAATTGAAATTAGGACCCATCCTGACTACAAGCTCTTGGCCACACAGTTGTGGTACAGTTAGAGCTTTAAATGAGGTATATGTGCTGTTTTAATCCTCTTGATATTTAGAAGATAAGTAAAGTTAAAATTTTCAACTGAGAGTGCTAGTCTTGATTTACATTTCAGTTAATGACTGCATTGATGCTGATAAGGGTGCTTTAAATGTTAAGTGCCTGCTGAGATTTAAAACATGGAGGAGTTGTTGATCAAAGTTATATTTGTTGTGTTCATTAAGCAAGTTATGATGCAGTGGAGTAGAGAAGGTAAAAATAAAATGTGATGATCAGTAACAGAAAACATGTGAAGTTAGTAATGAAGAATATTGTTCTACTTACTTAAATGTGACCTTCACACCTCTCATGGCTGTGTGGTGTAGCCTGAATACAGATGAAGCTTAACTTCCCTGTACATGACTAGGCATAATATCACACCCTTCCCAAAACTAAAATTCTGTCTGGTGGCTCCTATAGTTCAAAGATCACTGGAAAGTGTGACAATTAATCCTTAAAAAATGATAGGACAGAAAGCATTTAAGACCTCTAGTTAGTATGAAATTATTGTGAGTGAATGGGTGTGTGCAAAGAGGTAAATTCTTAACTATTTATCTAATTTTTATTCATCACAAATTACATTGCTTAGCACCAGAAGGCCTAAATGTGGTCAAAACAAACTTCACTTCAATCAGTGTTGAGTGGCAACCTCTTCCTCAAAGTAATATACTTGGAACTGTATCAGGATACAGGATAAAATATGCCATTTCTCACAGTGCTGTTTATGCAAGCATGGATTTAAAGTCTGATCAAACTCAGGCTATAATCAGTAACCTTGAGGGGAACACTGACTATAAAATTACAGTTGCTGGATTATATAATGAAGGACAAGAAGAAGGACCATATTCAGACAAAATAGATGCCAAGACATCAAAACAGTCAAGTAAGTTCATATTGAAAAGTACTGTTTACTTTGAACATTTGGTGTAGTTTTTAACAAGGTTTAAAAGCCAAGCTCTGCAAAAACTTGGTCTGAAGCTGGAATAAGCCACATGGAAACAAGCTGGGCTTTAGCCAAGGGATTTAAAATAATCATTATTGAAAATGGATTAGGGCCAGAGAAGAGATCATGCAAGAAGCAGTCGCTTGTTTTAGGCAGGCTGGGACAGGCTTAAGGGCCAAAGTATCCCAATTTGGCTCCTTAACAGCCAGAAAGGAAATGACTGCCATTGTTTACCATTGTTGTGTTGGCATAGCATAATCAGCACTTAAACAATTTTAACTCTGTTAGTATGGCAAGAATTGAACAAGAATGGATTTCAAATTATTGGTGCCCAATAATATTATATGTAGATGTTACAGTCATGTTAGTGGTTCAACCTGATAGTAGTCATTCTTGTAAGAGAGACATACTATCAATTTGTACTATTAATTGCCACTTAAAGATATCAACTATGGTCTCAAAATGATCTGGGTCAAGTTGTTCAAAGGGCAGATAATGCTATTCAACAGATAAATCACTATCCAGAACTGAGATAAGTGTTGAGGAAATGTACTGTACTATCCATCAGATGGAGATTTATCCAGTGGATAACGTTATCCACCCTTCAAACAACTAGGGCTGGATGGATAGCTAGCAGAATAATTCTTCTCCATCTGGAGATGTTTATTGTATAGAGACAAATGTTGAGAGTGAAACAAAGTCATCCAATGTTCAGTTTGTCTATATTTTTCTATCAATAAAACAGTTAGGTTAGAGGTCCATGACACATGTAAGGGGAGAATGCAAAGAAGAAAGTAAATGTATAGAGATGCCTGCTTTTGAAAGGTTAATTACAAGCATTAACAAAAATATATTCATTTGACATAAACAACTTCATGAATCATGGGCCAAATTTTTTTATGCCAGATTGAAAAGCCTCTACTTCTCTCAAATTTTATTATTGAATGTATTTTTGACAATTCAACATCACCCCAGGCTGACACCTAGTATCTCCAATAATTATACATTTCCAATCATCAAGTATTAGGCAAGTTTTGACAAATTTGAAGTTGCAGTGGACATGCAGTCTATATAACCTTTCTGTGGTTAGCAATGTCATTTTTTGTATTTTCACAAGGTGAAAATACTGGGTGACGCATTTTTTCATTGTTGACTTTAAGGAGAAGTATGCTTGAAAGAAACCAGACAACTATATCTCTGCCATCATAAATAAATACCTGATAATTAACTGTATTTGGGAATTTGGGAGTAACTTAATGCTAACTGTTGGGAAACTGCATGAATTCAAATGTGCTAAGAATTTTAGCACACTTGCCACCATTTTGAAATCAGCTGAGTAACCTGGCTTCACAGTAAAAACCAAAAAGTTTAGTTCACTAACAGTTGCTAGCTGCTCTGATTATGGGAAAAAATCATGATTCAAATCAAGAATGCCTTTTTGTGAGTAGTTTATTGTTCAAATAGGTCACTAAGGAATGAAGAAAAGAGTTGTTAAACTTTTCAGCATCAAATGAAAGACATTTTGGTTAAAGAGTAGGTTAAACTTATGAATCTCAAAATAAGGCTAGTATAATAATTTCTTTTTATGGTTGATAATTATAATCATAGAGTTTTTTGGAGCATACATCTCCTAAATTAGGTAAAAAAAATTTAAAAGAATTAATGTAATGAAAATTCCAACAACAGTGATAAAACCTTGTTCTGCTTCAAAAGGTCTACTCATGAATTGCCATATTCCCATATTCCTTTCTTCTTATATGTTTAATTAAGTGCCATAAAGCTTGTGAATGCCAGTGAATAATCACTTCATCTGTTGAAAGGCTAACCAGCAAATTGGCATTACAATATAAATCAGAAATGAATTATTATAGACTGCATGGGTTAGTTTTTTACTTTTAGTTTTTATTTGAAAAAAGGGACTATGACAAACATATTTTCAATTTATTTTGTTAAACATTGATTTCTTGCTTCAAATTGTTGCTTTACAGGTAATCCTTGTGATTGTGATCCATGCCAAAATGGAGGAACATGTTTTGAACAGGGGAACCACTCAATCAGTCTATTTTACTGTAAATGTGCGGCAAACTTCAGTGGTGAAGTGTGCAATGTGTCTTTGAGAGGTATGTTAAGTTTCAAAAGTGTCTAATTATGTCTATAATGATAATATGGATTGCTAGAATTCATATACTTTACTCAGACACACAATTATTGATCATAGATAGCTCAGAGATGCAACAGGGTATATTTATGGGGGTATTGATATGTTGGAGATATATATATGTTGCTCCTCTGGTTAGAATAGTGGACTCTGCACAAGGCCTTTATATAATTCACAGAAATTTGAGAAAAGTTTTTTTGCTTTCTTTTTTTTTTTTTTTTTTTTATCACAATCAGACTTTGCATGCCAAAGCCCAGTTGTGAGCCTGCCAAATATCTCACCAAATGCTTCTTCAGACTTCAGCTTTTACAAATCAAGACAGTTTATAATCCAGTCTGAAGTGGAACTGAACTGTGAGTTGTCTGACAAAACACTGTTCTTCTGGCATGTTTATCAACTTGGTGAAGAAGATACACCATTACTTTCAAGGAGTAGCTTTTCAGAATTGCGGATCACACCACGTTTGTTGCCAGTGGGTGATTTTTTGGTGCAACTCAATGTTAGTATCATGGGAACAGCAGTGTTTGGGGTCAGTCAGGGTTATTTCCAGGTGGTGAGTAGCCCACTAGTTGCATTAATTGCTGGAGGAAGTAAGGTGGCCAGAGGACAATACAGAGCACTGATCTTTGATGCATCCCTTTCATATGATCCTGATGAGGAGGATCAACAATTCTCAGGTTAGTAAACAAAGATGTTTCAAATCTGTTGACAAATCCCAAAATGATGCAAGAAAAAAAAGGAGTAAGCTTGCTGATAAGTGTAACATAATTTATACTCTCTCTATATATATGTGTGTATATATGTATATACACATATATTGTTATTTACACTATTTATCCCTTGTTATACCATATTATGCACTTGTAGGCCTCAATTTTATGTGGTGGTGCAGAAATGAGTCAGCACAAGATCCTGATAATTCTGATGAAGCAGGATGTTACTATAGGGTTAGTAATGAAGAATCTGCTGTTCATGAACTGAGAGTGAACAGTAGCCTCATGGCAGAAAACACCTCATACTTCATAACAGTACAGGTTACAAAGGATGTAAGGCAAGCTGAGTACACTCAGGAAGTGTTTATTGTTCCAGGTGATCCACCTGAAATGCAAATCAGGTTTGTGGCACATCAGATAATGCTAGTGCTTGAACTTTATCTGTGGATTCCATGCAGTTAATTTACCATGTTTAAAATATCAAATTTGAATTAGCTCACCTTCAACATAACAATTAAAAATTTCCCAAAGCAGATCACAATTTACTGTTAGTAGTAAAATGTGGCCCTATAATAATTTCAAATACTAAATGTTTGTAAGTATGTATAAGAATATGTCCATAGATACGTTTTAATCATGACCATTACAATTTCCTCAAATGTGATAGGTGCGGTTGCTATTTTATTTTTAACAAATTATTCTGTAGAGTTGTAATTGGACAATGTAATTGGACAATGTAATTGGACAGTTGGCTGTAATTGGACAATGTAATTGGACAGTTGGCTGTAATTGGAAAGTTGAAGCAGCCAATCATATTTAGTCCTTTCAGTCAAATCCACCAATCACAGAATTGATCACAATAACCATAGTAACAACCACTTATCCTAGAAAAAATTGAGGAATTTCCAAAATGGAGAACTTTTATTACTGTAGACTTCATCTCTACCAGAGATATTTGACTGAAATGTATTTCTTGTTTTCGGAAATTGTAATGGTTAATTGGTAACAGGACTCTTATCATCCAATTCAGTCTGTAATCATACTTGTGATTGATAAATTGGACTCCTACTTTGCAGTTGTCCAATTTTGTTACTCACTTGTATGATTACAGACCGAATTGGACTCTACTTGGTCCTATTACCATTATTAAACTGTGTCATATCAGGTGGTTTTCCTTCTCTTTGCTTTATCTCTCTCTGGGGAGTCAAAGTCTTTTTGCATTGTGTATGTGTAGAGGTTCAAATAGAACATAATCACTCCTTCAGAGTCTGTTGCTTTATCGCAGAGGGGTCAAATATCAGTGAAGCCTACTTTCTGATGCAGAATTGCAATAAAGCACTTTTAAATTTGCTCATTAGATTACATGTATGTAAGAACAACAAAAGAGCTGATTTCAAATCAAGTTTTAAATTACATAAATATTAGAGGCTCCTGAAAAACCTATTTGATGATTTTTCATGAGTTCCCTGAAAGCACTTTTATCCTCCCATACCTTTGGTAACACGCACACAGTATTTCAGTCTTATCCTCCTAGTGTGACCGAACGCCCGTCAGTGGCCTTGAGTTTTGGTATTCACCAAAATTGTTGGCAATATGTATGAAACTAATTTAATTACTTGCTCAGCTTCAAGCAGTGAATTGATGAAGCAAGCAAAGATAACTTGTACTATCATCATCAATTCGTTTTTTCCTTTTGCTTTTACCAGAAAATTTTCAAGAAAAGCGTGAGCATAGATGATAACCGCTGAAATGTATATTCCACATTACATCTAATCAATCTGTATTTACTACTGTTTCCCATTTCCCAATTCTCTTCACCATTTTCATTTTTATTCCTTACTCATTGCCTTCCATTTCCCATACCTCATTCCAAACTCCATCCTATTTCCCATTCTCTGTTTTCACAATATAATTTATGCATGCCCTATATACCTGGTTGTCGGACACCTACTTACAAAAAAGGGAAATTGTACGAAAAGACAACACGTAATTGGATTGAGTTTGGTTAGCACTGTTTACTTCTGTTTTTAAGTACGTTTGCTTTTATTGTTATCTTTCCTTCATAGGGAAATAAACAAAAGAAAAGTTGTTATAGTAGAAAGATAGCCGTGGGTGTAGGTTCAACCGTTGATCTCATCCTTTCCAAAGGTAAAGTTAAGTCTTGATGAGTGAAGTAGTGAGTCTAACTATAATACGTAAACATCCTTTAGATGTATGGAAAACTGTGATGCGAAAGTGAATCCATCTGGGAGAATGGCTTTACAAGGCATGTGTACAAGTGCCTCATGTCATGGTAACCTTCACTACAAGTGGACTGTTTTCGAAGGCACAACCAACTCCTTAAACATTACCGAATGGACTGAGATGTTGGCGATACGGAAATTTATAAGTACCCGAGCTTCATCGAAATCTTTCGTTACTTACCCTGGTGTACTGAAGCTCAATACCAGGTATAAATTTATTTTGTCTGCACAACGACCAGGTGAATACCGCGGCTATTCCGAGTACCACGTGACCTCAAACAGTCCCCCTGTCGGAGGAGTATGCAATGTGAGCCAAATATCAGGAGACGCTCTTATAACAGAGTTTACTTTTGCTTGTGATAATTGGCAGGATCCAGATCTTCAGTTGCAGTATGAATTCATATACCTCACAAGACACAATCTTCTTAATGTGGCATACAAAGGAGTAAAAACTAGTTTAACAACCAAACTTCCAGCTGGAGAGAGAAAAAATAACTTCACCATCGACTTTCGAGTTCGAGTGGCTGACGTTTTGGAAGCTTACACAGAAGTGCAAACTCCCGTGCAGGTATGAAATGGTAACGGCAGAGAAACAACGGTGATCGGTGGTTTTTTAATGGTTTTCATTTCAGTCTGCACTGTCCATCATAATGAGATTTAGCTAATGTAAAGTGTCTGTAGACTGCTCTCTTCATTTTAATCATAGGTTTTAGAACCCAGCATTGGACAAGCCGACCTCCTAGACATTGTCAAAAACCTCACAACCGGAGATGAGAGTGAACTGAATTATCTGATTCAGTCAGGTGACGTGTCACGTGCTCTACAACTAACGACGGCGGCCATTTCAGTCATTCATGTCACTGCGTATGATAAATTGATGGAAAGTGAGGCCCATGAGTTTGCAGACAAACGGACTGCGGTAAAGATTTTCTGTGATGAAATACTTCTTGTGAAACCTCTGCTGAAAAAATTTTGAATTGTCTCTGACAGGAAGTCCAACCATTCAAAGTTTTATCAATTTTTTATTCTTGCCAGAGTCTTAAGTTGGGTTGGGTTTGCCGCGAACAATATACTACATTCATACAGTAGCTCTTTCCACCAAAACCATTTGGAGGTATCCAATAGTCTAATAGGCTTTAGTTTTAAGGCTAGATTGATTCAATTGACTGGTGTGTAGATTTTACCTTCTCGTAGCAAAGCGTGTCTTCGTGACCATGCTTACAAATGTAGATGCATCTAATGGGGTATTAAATTGTGCCCATAAATTGGATAGATGCAAATTGGGGCTGAAAGAAAGTGAAACAAATACTAACTTTTCACAATTGTTTGAGCACCTTAGTTCACCTCTACTCTTTTTTTAATTAATATAGATGAAATCAAACATCATAGAACAGTTATCAGCTATCCCGGCAGAGACTGTTATCAGAGTTCAGCAGGTGTCGAATGTGATTGCTTCCGCCAGTTCAGTCATAGACGAGGTTACCTTCGAAGCACAGGTAATTTATCAACCAAGAACTGCTTTGTTAGTAGACTTAGACCACTTTCTTCGCTAAAATCAGAGGCAAACCGTTTATTATCCTGTTCCTTTGGACCTTTTTCAGAAAGATGCAACGAATGCTCTTAAAAAAATGACGTTAGTATTAAAGGCGGAGACTGCTGGAGAAAGTTACGACTCGCTTTATGATGGCGCAAAAAGTCTTGTGAATGGTCTCGGTAGCATACTTAGGGTAGCAGCACATGGAGCTAGAGTATATGATTCACAATCACTGGGGAATTTTGAGATCAAAGCTAGCTTCGAAGATGCTTATGAACGACTCTCGCGTAAAAAACGTAGGGTAACTTTTAGGTCAAGAACTTCTTTGCTACTGGCCAGCAGGACCAAAAGAGACACTAAAGACGCGCAGCTACAGGTGAAGAACCGTTCAGAAAGAAATACCAGTTAAAAATTTAACTGAACAATTGATCTAAAAAATGAATATAGTAAGAGTGAGGGATATTAGACGCGTTATAAATCCGTAGCCCAACCCCAATGTTTTCTACAACAAAGGACTTCTTTTAGCCAGAACCTTTTTTCTTCTTTTCCGAACAGATTGTTTATCTGTAGCAGAATGTTGCCTAGCATGCCTTTACTTAATTGTCCGAATTTTTTCTTGACTGTTTTTTGGTCAGGAGAGTCGAAGTACCTCTCTACCGCTCAAATCTAGACTGCTAATTTCTCGGTCAATTTTCAGTAATTAGCCTAGCACTTCACATTACCACATAACAAAATTAAAAAAAGCTATTACAAGTTCTCACTAATGGTGACAGCAAGAAATTTTCATTAATATTTCTGTTTCAGGCCCGAATCCATGTTGAAAGTATACTCCATTCTTTGAAGGACGTCGGAGGTACGATCTTGTCCCGAACTCTCGTTGGCGAGGAGCCGAAAGAAATTCCAGCCCAAGCCATGTCTCTGTTAGTATTTCGAGAGGAGCCCAAGTTGCTCGCCGACACAATTCTTTCAAACAAAGGAAATAGTTTTCAGTTTACTTCATTACCCATCCAGTTAGACAATGATACCCATTTCGTAGATGGTCAGGTAGGTGATTAAGAAACTTCATAGAACACAACTTTATTGAAAGTATTTCGCCGCTATTTATGTTGTAGAACGCGTTGTTACACCTTTTAGACAAAATTTAGAAGTTTGGCTTGCGTGGAGTTGTCCATATGGTCTTGCCCTGTTGTACGACCTACTAACTGCTAAGAGATCAATGTGATAGTAGCGAAATTACAATACACTCAGTTTTAGCATTCGGCAGATTCATCAAAACGTGTACTTTCTTTCTGCGCACCAAGCTCCACTTACTTTCAGAATCGCCATTCGGCAACCTACAAAATCATAACCTGGCTGCCAGAAAAATGACGTCACTTTGCGCAAAAGTACATGACCGCTAAACACACCCCTTTTCCTTTGAGAAAACAGAATAGCTGATATTTTCTTGGTGAACTCTTACAACATAATACTCGGTCAAAAACGGAGAAAGAGGTCATAATTAAGAGAAAACGACATTTTTTTTAATCATTTTTTTCGATACCAACTGTCATGACTGCCGTGTAAAATGCATCTTTATATTCTTTTATCTATGTCTACAGATGGTAACAGCAGACTTCATACCCTTCTCATGGGATCCCACAGGAGCAAGAGTGACGACTACTGTTTCTAGCCTTGAACTTAGGAACGGTTCTGGGCATCTCTTGAATACGACAGAACTGAATTCGCGCATTACTATTAAACTTCAGAACCTCCAGGTCTTCATGAACACATTTCAGTCTAATTACATTGGAGCCAACAGAACTATTTTCTACAAGATAAATGTCACCCAAGTAGGCATGGCATTGGTGCTAAAGATTGGTCCGGAAAGTAACAAGACAGAGTTTCTGGTGACTGTTAAGTATGGAGAGCGGCCGTCCCTAAGTAATGGTGACTTTAATGTAACAATACCTGACCTTTCATCTTGCGATAGAATGCCATATGGGTACCTCAATTGCTCACGCGATCCGTATATGGTGTTTATGAACCAGGAATTTGTCGAAAAGGAAGGTCTGGGATACTACTTCGTCGGACTGACAGCCGTGTCACGAGTTTCTGCGATTTCTCGAGTTAGGCGCTGCTCAAAGCGGTCCTGTGTGCGGTACAAGGAACCACCGACTGAGGGTACAAGTTACAGCGTACCGCACTACCGTGAAGGTGATGAAAAGTACACCATTCATGTGATGCCGGCTGCCTGCCTGTTCTGGAACGCGGAAATATCCAAGTGGACATCAGAGGGATGCAGGGTGAGAGAAGACAAGTTATGATGACCCTTATTGTAAACTGTAAACTAAACGGCGTTATATTGAGTGTAAACACGTTTTTAAATGGTTTATTCCTGTTTTTATGTAGTATTTTAGTCTCACTTTAAGTGCAGCGCTTGAAACATACAATCATGCTCTATCAATTTCCCTTATTCTTATGGATGATATACACTACTTGCTTGCAGGTCACCGAGATGACAACTCAAGATTACATTCATTGCTCTTGCAATCATTTAAGTGCTTTTGGAGGTCAGTTACTTGTGGCGCCCACTCCCATCGATTTTGATGAAGTTTTCATCCAATTGGCTAGTGTATCAGATAGCGGATACACAGCTGTTATAATAGCTATTAGCTGTGTGTTTGGGCTTTATCTGGTGTTGTTGATGTGGGCTCGAAAGAATGACAAACGCGATCTTATGAAGGTAAGAACATAACGCCAAATCATTATGCTCTAATGCTCTAAAGTTGATAAAATGAGATTGGTTCTTGCTTATTCATCTTAAAAATTTTTCGAGATAAGAGGAAGCCCAGTGTTGTGGCAAGGACATCATCCGAAGTGCTTTACATTCTCTGAATTGTCTCTGAAGAAAAAGAGGAGTAATGAAAGAAAATAGAAAAGATCGTGCGGAAAATACGGAATACTGTGGAAATTCTACGCTAAGCTGTGATTCATCGATAATTGAATTCAGCTGTGGTAAGGGAAGTTTAAGAAAACCTTCGGAGAGCTTATTCATATTCTTAAGAAATAAAATTTCTGAAGTCAAGTAGAAGCTGATCTTGGACTTGTGTATTGCCTACTTGCACGTTCTCAGAGTCGGTAGCAAATAAGCAATATCTTCTCTAAAACTCAATTTATGTCATTTTTCTAACAGTTACATTTTGTGTTCACTTTGAGCATAGTTTAACGAGTTTTCCTTATTGATCTTCTGATAGGTGGGCGAGAGTGCACTCCTAGGGGTTCCTTCGCCTTTGTCTTACTTCGTCGAGATTCAAGTATCTACGGGCATTTGGCGCAACTCGGGCACTACTGCTAACGTTTTTATTATATTGGAAGGAGAGTCAGGTGCCAGTAGACCGTTCCATTTAAAGCACGACTCTTGCATCTCTTTCGCAAGAGGCAGTATTATTTCCCTTATTCTTTCAATTCCAGACGACATTGGCCCCATAAGAACTGTCCGCGTGTGGCATGACAACTCGGGCACCAATCCATCGTGGTTTTTGAACCACATTAAGGTCTGCGATCTATCCACAAAGAAGCAGTGGAACTTCATGTGTTTTGCGTGGCTGGCTGTTGACAAAGGTGAAGGATTGATAGATCGCACCCTTCATTGTACTTCCGCGACCGATGAAGGAATCGACTTTGCAATATATGTGCAGAATAAAATTGCTGAAGAATTCAGTGACTTACACATTTGGCTTTCTGTAGCAACAAGACCACCGAGGTATCGGTTTACTCGTGTTCAACGTCTGTCTTGCTGTCTGGCACTATTGCTAACCTCGATGCTGGCAAGTGCTATGTTTTACCAGCACGGAGCAATGGTAGACGACACTCAAGGATCTCTCAGAATGGGTCGTTTTGATGTAAACCTGAAAGGATTCATTATTGGAGTTCAGAGCCTAATAGTCATTTTTCCCACCTATGTTTTGACTGTAGAACTTTTTGCCCATACTCGATCGTCAGATGAGAATAAACAAATGACTCTCAAAGCTAACGCAGGAAAAAAATCTTTTTCTTTTCCACACTGGTTTATTTTCATTCCTTGGCTCTTGTGTTTCCTCCTCTCAACTTGTGCGGCGGCTTTTGTTCTCTTCTACAGTCTACAGTGGGGTGCAGATACAAGTGAGCAATGGCTGGCTTCGGTTGCAATATCAATTTTTGTCGACATATTTGTAGTAGAACCTATTCAAATCATCGTAGTGGCCTTCATACTGCCTCGTATTTTTGAAGAAGAAACTGACAGATCTACGTGGATGCCTCGCTCTGTCGACCCCGAGGTTGATCTTAGAGATATTAAAGTTGGCGGGCTAGGAGATGATGAGGCCGAAGAGGAAGAAGTTGAAATACCAAAACCTCTAAGCAAGAAACAGCTACGTCGCGCAAGGAAAAGTCGAATAAGAGAGATACTTACATATTCGGCTTTTCGGAAAATAGGATCCTACATGCTTTACTTATTGATTCTTATGATTGTTTGCTACGGTGGGCGTAGCAAGCATGGGTACCTGATGACATCATCCATGAAGAATATATTTGGAGAGCTTGACACTGTAAGTGAATTGAGTAATCTTGTTGTCTCACAGCTGACTACATTGATACGAAAGGATGTAATAACACCATAATGATAGCAGACTTGAGGGGGTTACAGTTTTTTTGTATACCAAAACATCGAAGAGGCGCCAAAGAAATGAATAACTACCAAAGCTATCGTAAAAAGAGACACGCCCTCGCTTACCATGTGTTTATTTTCCCTTTACTTTGCGATTTAACAACGAAATACCATCGGCCGTGTGGTCCTAACTCAGATGGCATGTGATTAGTGCTCAGATAGCAAGGAGAATATCTCACAGGCAACGACTAATGTCAACGCACTTATTATCCAGTTTCAGTATTTCATATAATTTTTAGTTATTTCTTTATTTATATATTCTTATGTTTAAATATTTTTATATTTATGTTTTTTATTTGAACATTTATATACATTTTTTATTTGTCCCGCCGAATCATGCAGATTTCAAATCACTTCAATACATGGGACTGGGTACGTGACGTTTTGATACCAGGGCTTTTTGAGGATGGAAAATACTTCACACTGAATAGTTCCAGTCCTTACATTGGAGACGGCGACGCTGTTCTCGTTGGGATGCCTCGTCTTAGGCAGCTACGAGTCAAAGAAGGTATTTTTAAGAAATTGTATCAACGTAGACCAAAAAAAATACTGCTTGTGTTGACTGCGTCGACGAGACCGATTTAATGGTCAGCTGTAAACGCTCCGTCAATATTCCACGAAGCAAATCCCAAGTTTTAAGTTGTGAGAGAACTCCCTAAAACCAAACTCTAAAGGGCAGCTCGCATAAAGGCTGGAGTATTGGAATGATAGTGGTGACAGAGACTAGCCTCAGACTTACCCTTCGGGTGAGCCATCGTAAAGTTTATGAATTTGATTTGATTAATTGCTAAGTAAATAATAAGAAAGAAAAAAATTGCCCTTCATTAAGGTTACTTAAAAACCATTTACCCACTTTCTTTTGAGGCAGGAACAAAACTTCATTTATCATGGTAGCTGCATAAAATGATGACACGATTCATGCACGGTATGTCCTCTATCACAATGACTACACAAATTTTTCGCTCCCAGGTCCTTGTGACGTCGGCATAGAGGAACTGACCACTCAATTCAATTCATGTGTGGTTTCATATACATTCAGTAACGAGGACAAAGCCAGCTTCCATGAAACGAGATGGCGTCTATTTTCCTCATCCAAGAATGAGTCACTCATTAGTCCTCATCGTGTCTGTCCAAGTGCCTGGCATTATTCGTCTGCCCAAGAAACATCAAGTCTTCCTTTGTGGGGAAAACTTCATCTGTTAAACTTTTATGGCGAAGGAGGTTACCTGGCCGAGTTGGGCTATGACAAAACAACAGCACTGAAAGTCATCTCTGAACTCAACCTGTTTAACTGGACTGACAGATTTACCAGCGCTATAATTTTTGAGTTCACGGTTTTTAACTCTCAAGTAAATTTGTTCAGCGTGATTTGGATCCTTACTGAATTTTCACCATGTGGTCTCGTGGTCTCTAATCACGTGATTCATACTATGCACATATATGACATTGGCGGGGGCTACAGTGCTGTAACCATAACGTGCCAGTTGTTACTAGTGGCTTATATTATATACTTTGTTGTCACGGAAACGAGGAAAATGATTGCGGGAATTAGAATTTATTTCTCTCAGTTTCTAAACTGGGTTGAACTTACGCAGACTTTTGCTGTCATTGGCTTTCTCATTTCTCACATTATGAAAGAAACACAGCTCTTTGCTACCACAGCGAAACTCAGAGAAAATACTTTTCAGTTTATCAGTTTTAATAAAGGCATTCTTCTGCAAGACCTGGAAACGCTATTAGTATCGTTACTGATGTTTTTGAACACTTTGAAGTTACTTTATTTGCTCAAATTGAATTCCCACGTGAGGCATTTATTTTATGTAATGAAAGTATCTACTCGGGAACTCGTTCAGTGTTCGGTTGTTTTCGCTGTCTTCATGTTTGGATGTATTCATGTAGGATACATTCTGTTTGGGAGCGAACTTTACTCCTTTTCTTCGCCTTTCATCATTCTACAGTTTCTTCTAGTCGAAGGAGTCGTTGGTGGCGGTTTCAGCTACTTTTATGATTGCTGTACAGTCATTGGCCCAGCTTACTTTACGGCGATAAAAGTGGCAGTGAATCTTATATGCATCAACATTTTCGTTTGTATCCTTGTTTATAATTATGGCCGCATCAGGGAACTCTCAAGAGGGAAGTTTGATCTTGGACATTTCATGTTTGTGAAAATAAAAGAACTACTGGGTTGCGGGGGCGACCGTCAGGGAGCGAATGAAGACATTTCCGGGCATGATCTACCGAGCACAGAGATCGAGGAGGATATTCTTCCTGAGGCAGCAGAGATATTGGCGAGGCTGGATCGGATTAACCATCTTTTAAATGTTCATTACGCCGACGAATTTTGTGAAGACCTTGAACTGTTTTCTATGTGGTTTGATCTTCGCATGCAAGCTAAGAAATCCAAGGATTTACAAGAAAATTGGGTCGATGCTCAAGAAAGTTTTGAGGCTGTTGTAGAAGAAGATTGGGTGGATGCATATCAAGAATGAGATATTACCTCCTTGTGTTAGATGAGCAAGTGATAAAGGGCTCACCTAAAAGAGCACTTACAGAAAAAGAAAACATTAAATTGACCTTGAAAGTTATGAAGGAGATATCAATATTACATTCACTTTGGAACAATTTCAGTCATTTTTCTTCCGTAGCACATTGTCATTAAGGGCTACTTTCAAGTATACCCAAAATTTGATTTTACATCATCATTTTAATGGTTGCTTTAGCAGCGTTAAGTTTTTTCTGTAGTTAAACTTTTACGATTGCGACAACTTCTTTGGCTCATCATCAATTAGACTTGATAGGCCATCTTGAATTTAATCACTTGCTCAGTTTCAGTTTTTGCGGCAATTAACTAATACCATTCTTATGTCATTTTTATGTGGTTATTCTTTTAAACATTCTTCAGCGGGTGGATAATTCTATTTACCAGATTTACCGCTACCTGTTATTTAAAGTTGTAGGTGTGCCTGTTCATTAATCCGTTGGATTGTATTAAATACGTTAACTGGAAAGTGGTATTCATGTAACTTGGCTGCCTGATTGCGTTCTTGGGATTTATTCAGAGTTCGGGACAAGATCAAGGATCAGATGAAGAAAGTGTAGTTCCCCACTGAAATGGTTATTTTTCTGCATGATTATGACTAGGTGTGAGGCTTGCGTAAAACAGAAAACGTCATTCGAAAGTGTTAAAGCTCTCGTAAGCATGGTAGATACTAGTTTTTGTCTATCACTGCTGAACGAACACTGATCATTACGGGGTTATCTTCTTTAATTTGTGATGTGAATATATTCACAAATTATAAGTAGGGCATGAAATATCTACAACTCTGCCTGGTGGTCAATGATCAAATTTCGAGCACATAACGCTAGTGTTTCTGAACAATTGATTTATTCACCTCCTGAATCAATGCACCGTTGGTGCTTCTGTAAAAAAAAAAAAAGGTGGTCTTTATATGTCTCCTGTTGCAGCACTAACATGGCCGTCAGTCTTTCGTCTCGGTCAGTAACCAATATGGCCATCGTGACGTCGTGTGAAAACGATCTATAGTTTCCTAGGTTATGACCGTGAAAATGATACCAAACTGGTGCGAAAAGGGAGAAGAATTCATACTTAAAGGAGCCATATGTCACATCTTGCTTTTTTCTCTTTTTTTTTTTTAATCAATAGTTCGACTTCATCTAAACAGGCGTAAATTTAACTTATTAGAGTAATTAATTGCTTAGACAATCAAGCATGGTCGTACTTGCAGCAAATCAGCTCTGCTGCACAGACTCAGTCAGGTGAGGAGTCTAATACGACACGGTCGTTGCAAGCATTTTAGTGTCAACCAAGAGTTAAAAAAAACCAATACGTCTGATAACTATGGAGGAGGAGGCCCTGAACTTCCGGCCCCCTTAAACGGATTGAAGAAAAAGAGGAGAACAAAAAAGGCAATCAAAATATTATAAAAAGGAGAAGATTCTAATCCAGTGACTCCTAGGATGATTCCTCAATATAGAACTGTGCATCTTGTATTTCTCTTAAAAAAAAACTCGTTATCAGGCGAATAAGGGGCGCGCAAGAAAACGGTAATGTTTTTCAATTATGGACCAGATAAAGAGTTACAATGGCCTTTGGGGCTTGAACGAGCACGGTGACCTATCTTTTTTATTTTATTTTTCGGAACAGACATCGGTAGGGAACATTTAATTGAAAAGTTTAAGAAAAATTTTTGGATAATTTTTTATCTGAGGATTCACCTCAAGGGAGGAACAAGAAAGGGAACACAATTTTACTTCCGTCGCTTACAAAGATCATTCCAAGCTTCTTTACCTTTAGACTCTCAGACATATGAAAAATGCCAAGCTAATAGACTTTGAGAGAAATGGGAAATTTCGAGATTCACAAAAGCTAACGAGATTTGAAATTGGATAAAAATGTTGTGAGACTTGTGGCTTTCCAAGAGAAAGCCTCATCTATCATTCTTTCGAAACAATAGCGAAGTTAAACAAGTTAGGGACAAAAGTCATTTTCAAGTCATTTATATTGTGTCTAGGTGTGGCATTGAATTCTTTAAATCTGATCTCTCTATTCAAATGTTTCCAGAAACATATAAATATATTTCAGTAATCGAGTAGATGATTTTTCTGAATGTACTCAAACCTCTAGTGCTTCTGATTAAATAACCGCTTACTGCAAGAGCTCCATTAGCTTGATAGTGAAATGGAGTCACATGGCAGAAAAAGATCTTCAAGGAAACCTCTTTATTTCAGTTTCACATATTACTAGACTGAATTAGGGAGTGGTTTGGAGAGCAATTTGTAAAAAATAGATTACTCGATAAATAACACAACGCAGACGGGCTTGAGGGCTTATACCATGTACATCATATATGAGTCAGCAGAGAGCTCTGGAGGAATAAGACTTACAAACACAGCAAGGGATCGAAGAGATGCAGCAGGTATTTTAAAATCCTTATAGAGGCGCCAGAGGGGTTTTTACTCAATGTTGGCGCGCGGGCTAGGGTAATATTTTTTCTTGAAAATTTTTTTGTTATCGCTTTTCTAGGTCACTCACTGACTGACCTAGAAAAGCGAAAAAAAAAATTGGGGCAGAATGGGTGGACATCATGAACTATTCATAACCAAGTTTGAAGGCGATCTGGCTTTTAGGAGCCCTAAATTAGAGAAGAATGGGCCAAAATTGGCCAACCAGGCTTCGTAAAACTCACTTTTCTGAGATTTGAAAGTGTTTGCTTCTAAATCAACGCACCGCTTTTTGAAGATTAAAGATGTATCTACAATTTGCACCTAAAGTTAACGATTTTTACGAAGTAGAAGTATTATCCTTTGAAACGTGAAAATGCACCAAGTTCGGATATTTTTAGTATGGAAGTAATTTTCCGGAGCGATTTTCTGAAAACCCTTACTACCCTTGCACAATCAACGCGCGGCAAATAAAAGATTAATCTTTATTCTCACAGAATCCGTTTTAAGTTTGAAAATTGGCCGATCGGAACCTTTATCCATTTCAGTTTGAAAAAAATGGCGCTTTTTAGGTGAGGGGGCCATTGTCTTTAGCCTACCATGAATAACGATACACCTGTCAAACTAAACAATGCCCATTGCTGAAACTCATTCGCTTGTAAAATTATTCACAGCTGCCGCGAATTTTAAAGCTGCTATGTGTATCAGCTGTCAAACCTTCATTTAAGTTAAGTCATGATGGCGCGCGTTGACCAGCAATCTGTAGGCGATCGGGAGCTCTTTTCAGAGCTCACTGAATCCCCGATCGCTCGGCAATCTGAATGCGACCGGGAGCTCTTTTCAGAGCTCACTGAATCCCCGTTCGCCCAGCAATCTGTATGCGATCGGGAGCTCTCTTCAGAGCTCACTGAACCCCCTATTGTCTTCAACGGGGGTTTACGAGCCCGAGCACGGGCGTCACAGGAAGTATGCCTCTGGTGCGTCTGGATATGAGTCTTTGACCTGGTGAGTGTTCCTGTCCCTGTTTTGGGTGTTTCTATAGTCCAGGAGCGCTAAATGAATATCCTTGTTCTTTTGATACATCAGTTTGGCAATCTTTCCAACGGCTTCAGCCTTGTCACTTCCTTGTGGCCAATATGGGGATGAGGTTACATTTTCCATACCGTACTTAGACGCAAATTGCTTGTAGTCAGTGCTAACAAACTGTGGACCATTGTCCGTGGCTAGGCGCTCAGGTGTCCCAACATTTTGCAAAGTGTGCTTTGGCTAAGGGTACTACCATAAGAGTGAGTGTGTTGGGCAGTACACTGATTTCGACCCAATCACCGTAATGGCATGTCGAGACCAGATGCCACTTTCTATCCCACATGTGCCACATCTGGGATAGAAAGTGGCATCTGGTCAAGATATATCCGGCATATCTTGGCTAACCACAGGCCAGGAGCGGTCTGGAATATCACGGCTGAGCATGGGATCTTCTAGGGCCTGACTAGCAAACTGAGCACCCTTGATATCTTAAGCTATGGCTGGCCATAGAAGGGAAACCTTGGCTCTTCGAAAACAGGAGCATAATCCAAAATGTATGGATTTTCTCCAGCATAGCAAGTCTCATTGAACTTGGAATGACTGCTTCCTGGCCTTTATGCACTATGCCATCTGCCACCGAGAATTCATCTTTGAAAGTGTGGTAAGGTCGCAGCAATGGATCCACACCTGCTTTGGCAGTTGGCAAGCCAGTAATCACCAGAATAGAAAGCTTTTGCAGCGCTAGATCCATAGCGGTTTGCCCCTGCATGTTTTTCTGTGTAACCTTGGAGATCCTGAAATTGTCCAAGGTAATACTTTTAAATCCACTCAAAATATCTGATCTCCGGAAAGATTTTTTGTGAAAGAGAGGAGCTCTGGACATGGTGTCGGCAATGCTGTGATTGCTAAGTTCACGGTTTTTAACTCTCAAGTGAATTGTTCAGTGTGATTTGGATCCTTACTGAGGTTTCACCAAGTGGTCTCGTGGCCTCTAATCACGTGATTCATACTATGCACATATATGACATTGGCGGGAGCCATAGTGCTGTAACCATAACCTGCCAATTGCTACTTGTGGCTTATATTATATATTTTGTTGTCGAGGAAACGAGGAAGATGATTGCAGGAATTAGAATGTATTTCTGTCAATTTCTGAACTGGGTTGCACTTACACAGACTTTTGCAGTCATTGGCTTTATGAAAGAAACACAGCTCTTTGCTACCACAGCGAAACTCAGAGGAAATACTTTTCAGTTTATCAGTTGGCAGTTTCAACTACTCTAGCTCACATAAAGGCAAACGAGAATGGATCGCGTGCAAAGGTGCTTGATTTGCAGAATTTCTTAAAATTTTATCCAAAGTTTTCTCTTAAATTACACTAAACGAACAAGAAATTCTCCACGTCAATTACACGTAAACTTTTGAGATAAATTCTTCTGCCAACTTTTTTTAGCCACACCCAAAACTCCTCTTAGAGCCCGTAATGGACAAAAAGGCACAAAGATCAACAATCCAAGGGTAACCCGGAGATTCTCAGTAGATAGTTTGGCTGTCTCGGCTATTAATTTGGCAGAACACCTTATCGTTTGCAGGGAAAGAGGACAAAGTATTCAAAAGGCTGCTTATAAGTATCTTTAACGGGTGTCATGAAATGTACTTTATCGATTGAACCGTCTTCGAGTCCATGAGAGAATTGGGGACAATGAGTAGCAGCAGTTAATTCAATTTTTTATTTCCCTCTGTTGCACGTTATCAAAAATAATAAATTCTCCAACCTGAAGCACGATAATTCGTCGGAAATCTCGTCCAAACTATTTCTTTGTAATATTTACAGAAGCTAATTCTGCGAGCTTGACCTATCTGTGGTCAAACCTTGCAATTAATGCGTATTGTAACTGAAAAAGACTTATCACTCTTCATTGCAATTGACGCGCCAGGTTTTTTGTAATTCTATTGAAAATGAGATTGATACTATTAAAAAACTCGAGAACAGCGCCAACACTATCTAATTTTGTATTTGGTTGGAGTGGGAAGGAAGCTGATATTATCTAACAAATTTGTAAAACTAATAATCACAAGAATAGAATAGACCATTGATTGAACACACATGAATCTTTATTGTTAAGAGGACACTGGTTAAGTTTACCTATCATCTCGCCTCAAACTAAGTGCAGCCCTAATTTCGATACCCTGTCGTGTTTAAAAAGCGTTGTGGCATTCACGATAATGCTGTTAACCCCTACTCCAGGTGCGCGATCGAACTATTTCGACAATTCTTATCGACAAACAATAGTCTCTCGTACGAGTCATGATCAAAACAATTTAGCGAAAAAAATGTTGGCGCGTTGCGTCGCCGCGCGGAAATTTGGAAGCATTTTTTCGTTTCTCCCACGTGTTGTTTTCTAGGAGCTAAAATTTCTGTTATTTTTTGTTGGTTGAAGGGGCTTTTTTGTCGGGTGGAAAAGCACCACTTTTTTCGTCGTTTTGATAATTTGTTATCTCTCTCTCCCTCGACATGTAGGCTGTAAGAACTAATATCTTAGGAAATAGCAACTAAAATAGTTCATGAACATCGAGCATAGCCAACGATAAGTGTTGATATTCGTTCAATGATGACTTGTATTTTGCAGATCGTTCAGCTCGTGTATAATTAATTATCGAACATATTTATGCTAAAGTTAAAATCCTTGCCATCAAGTATCTTAACTGATTTAGTTTTACCATTCACTGTCTTTCATATGACTCTCCATCCAAAGGGGAACACCGTTTTCAGTTGGCTAAAACCGTAACCCCAAACATTTTCCTCACCTTGCCCAAAAATTTTCAAATTTTCCACAACTTCACCTGTTCCTCTTTGTATGTCCGGCCAAGCCTTTATGGTCATTAGCCCCCGTATAGCCGTTTAATAGGGCTTATAAATACAGGCGTTTAATATTATCATGTAAAACTCCTCGAAGAAGTCTACGACAATTAGAAGAAACGCGTCGAAGAATGAAGAAGTTTACAACTACTGTTCGCAGAGTGCTGTTTAATTTTAAAAGGTTGTTGAAGATATATTGTTTTTGAGACCTAAAAAGAACTTATTTATATGTAATGGCGTGGTGATCCAAGAGTGCGTTTCAACAAAAGTTACGAAGTTTCGAGATATACAACTCTGCTATCTCCAGATATCTCCAGCTGAATTTTCCATATGTCGTACAAACTGTTATCGCTTTTTAACATATGTAAGATTTGGGGTTGGAAAGAATTAGGAACAATCGCTATATCTGATAATAGAAAAAAAAGGTCAAGAGGCGAAAGTAAACATTTAACAACTTCAAACTAAAATAAAATTTATGTAACTTGCGCTGAGAAATATTGATAATCATTAATACAGACATGAACTCACTGAGCAGCGTAGCAAGCCTGTCAAAAACTTGTGTTATAATGATGCATTTTAGAAAAATATTTACAGAAAGAAAAATAGATTTTCGGTTTGCCGACTTTATTACGCACCGGAAGAGCGGAGAGAGAGCGCTTGTTCCAGTCCTACTCCGCATCTCACATTGCAAGAAGATCGGATCACTCGTTTCATTGCCCAACCTCTCTCCGCCCTGCTAGGAGTGGAGCGCACGAGCGCTGACATCAACGGCCGTATTTTAGGGACCTTTAGCGATTCACGATGGCGACGGCAACGAGGAAGTGGCAAAACAAAAGATCTAAGGAACAGATCAATAGCTCAGCACATGCGTTTTAAAACTGTGTACATTTCCTAGCCTTCCTCTGCGAAATAACAACGTGAAATCATCAGAATTTGCGTGGTCCGAGAGAGGGAACCCAGACGGCAAATTATTTAAGTTTCCATTGGAACTCAACGCCGCTCTCATACGTTGTGATGAGGTTAACTTGTGGTGCCGTAAGTGATGATAGACATCCAGTCTTTTGCGAAATTCCAACTAAAAATATGTATTAATTTCTAAATCGACGTCTTCCTTGGCGTTGCCGTCCTAATTGCTAAAGGTCTCTTATAAGTGTTTAGGTTAAGAAATTATTATTCACATTGCAGCCACGCAATCCTTCGGCTATTTTCACGCTATACCAAGAAGTAAGGTTGATAAAAGTCAGCCTGAACGTAGTCTATTTATAAAACTAAACCCTCTAACCTTTGAAAGTAGTATTTTACTTGAACTTGCGACTTAGTACTTCGTTAAGAGATTTAAAGTACTCTCAGTCATGTTTCACACAATCTCATTTATTTGGTTCATACTTCACAACGCTGGTTCCAAACAACTTGACGCTTTAAACTCAAGCAAATTCAAATACATCAGATGACTTGCTGATGTAACTTTTCGCTTATCAAACCATATCACCCTCTTTTCGCGCGTTTATTCATTCTGTGGGTCTCCGACGCTTGTACAGCTTCGTCTGATAAGGTACCAGCCCTCTTCTTCTCAGACACATTCCTTCTACACGCGCAAGCGTCCGCCCACCAGTTCAATAATTCGATGTCCTCAATGTCTTCAATAAACTCGTCAATGTAGAGGTCACTGAACTTTAGACTCATCTGGGTGATGCACTTGTCGAACTCCTTTAAAGGAGGACTCTGGGTCTTGCCATTGGTTCTTTCGCTCCTACCGTTGTCGTTGTTGTTGTTACCCAGTTCAACAGAATCGTTTTCGTTTTTCCAGTGCACCCTTTTCTTCCTGTTGTTGCCCGGTCCGTTATGAGGTGGTTTCCCGTCTCCTATGCAATGCAGTGTCTCCTTGATTTTCCTTATCATAAATTTCCCAAAGCTAAATCTTCTTTGGGAGAACTGCGTAACGGTTCGGTAATTATAAATAAGAATGGAAATGAAGATGTTAACCCATATCACTTGCAGACACATGTTGAAAACTATGAAGAAAATAGGACCGATGACATCATGACCATCTTGGAGATATTCAGCCCCGTCGCTGAAGACTCCCTGGATGAGAAGGGACTGGAAAGCACTAGACAGTGAGGAATACTCCTCCACCTCCCTTCCAAATTGAATGAATCCGAAATGAGTGAAGGCGAACATGAAGACGTAAAATCCTACTGAGCAGTTTACGAGTTCCAGGAAAGACGCCTTCGTGACATCAGACAAACGTTTAACATGACTATTAAATCTGAGCAAATACAGCAACTTCAAAGTGTTGAAAAACATTAATAAAGCCAAGAATGCTGTCTCCATATCATCGAGTAAAACTGCTCTGTCAAAGCTTATAAACTGGAAGACATTTTCATGAAGTTTAGTCGTGCTAACAGAGAGTTCTACCTCTTTAAAGATATGAACGACTGCAAAGGAAATTGCTACAAAGATCTGAACCACTTCAATGCAATTCAGAAATCGACGAAAGTAGTGTTTTGGTTGTTGAATCATCTCTTTGGTTTCTTTGAAGACGAAGTAAACAATAAACAACATGAACAATATCTGAAAAACAAGGTGAACAACACTGTAGCCAGCTCCAACGTTGTACACGTGAAGGGGGTGAATCACTTGACCAGAAGCCACATAGCCAGATGGCGAGAACTCCACCAGTATCCAAACTGCACTAAACAGACTGACATGAGTGTTGAAAACTACAAATTCAATCAATACAGTACTAGTGTACTTGTCAAACCAGTTTAACATGTTCAGCTCAGAAATGACCTTCGTGGCAGACTTTCTGTCGTAGCCTAGCTCTGCTAGGTAACCACCCTGACTATAAAGAGGATAAAGTCTTCCCCAGAAGGGTAAACTTTCGGTTTGCTCTGCTGTAGAATAACGCCAGGGTCTGGGGCAGACCTTGTTCAATGTTTCAGTTGAGATATTTAGTGAAGATAAAAGTGGAAGCCATCCTGGCTGATATAACTCCGTTTTATCTTCAGCTTCTAGTGAATATGACGCGATGCAAGAGTTGAATAGAGATTTCGCTTCCTTAACAACATGACATGAATCTAAAAGAAATAAAAGTCAATAAGTAAATCTTAACGGTTTACAGCACTTTTTAATTTAAAAAATACTGGGATGATGCAGTTTTGCAGCAAACTGTTACAAAAAGGACAAACACAAGGTGAACTGTGTCTGATGGCAATTAGACTTTTGATTTGTCGTCAGAAATAAATTGAGGTGATCAGTTTGATTAATCACTGATACTAATACATATTAATCTTTGTTCATATTTTACTGCCAGTCATCCTGCTGAAATATATAAAGATATATATGTGTTCGCACCTTTTTTCACTCTTAGCTGTCGAAGGCGGGGCATCCCAACAAGGACTGCATCACCTTCTCCAGTGAACGTAGTAGAATTTGAAAATGCCAAGTCCTCATTGTCCTGGTAAATTCCTGGTAACAAAACTTCTTGAAGCCACTTCCACATGTTCTCAAGAGTAAAGATCTAACGAAGCAATGCATTGTTAAAAAAAACAATCTACATAACTGGAAATTCAAAGAAAATCAATCAGTTCAGTGTACAGTTATTATGAACTCATTCCCTTCCTGGTAATCAAAACAAAGATACTATAAGTTGACAGCAATTCAATTTTTACCACATTTCGCCCTAAAATTGAAAATGCAAGCATGCATATTCACCTCTCCAAATTTTTGCTCTAGTGAAAATTTCAGAGAATAACTGTACTGACTCCGACCTTCATAACACATGATCATCAATATCAAAAGGTATGGAAAATAGCAGACTATCTTCTGTATCGCCTTGTACATACGCAGCTCTCGCATTCGACAGATCTTCGCACGGCGCAATTCTTTCTTGCTCAGGGGCTTTGGTGAGGCAATTTTTTCGTCGTGTTCATCTTCCTTTTGGCCGTCAGCAGAGGTAACTTCATCAAAATGTACCACTTTCCCGGGAGTTTGAGCAAGTCCATCAGCATCCGACTGACAAAAGTAAGACAAAAATAAAGCCATGACGACGATCTTTACCGGTTCTGAAACAAATATTTCCACAAACAAGGACATAGCAATGGAGATAAGCCATTCCTCGCTTGTCTCTCTACTCCAATGTAAACTATATAGAATAATAAAAGTTGCTGATGCAGCTGAAGAGATGAAACACAGGAACCAGGCCAAGTAAACAAAGCAATACGGTAGAGTTATGCGAAGGCTTCTTCGGTATCGATGTTCCTCGATGACCTTGTGGATGCTGAACCTTTCTCTGACCTTGTATCTTCGTTGACGTTGCTCTGGTGTGTCGAAATTGGTCGCCACGTGACTGAAGATTCCTACTATTATCAAATTTACGGGCAAAACTACAACAATGCTCTCCAATGCAATAATTAGTTGTCGCAAATTTAGGGCCAGAGGGCCCAATCTAAATGTACGCTGTTGCTGAACATGCCCAGGAACAAACTGATAAAACATGGCATTGGCCAACATTGTAGTCAACAGAAGTGACAGGCAGCACGACAAACGCTGCACGCGAGTGAAGCGTCTACTTGGTGGTCTGGTTGCGACAGAAAACCACAGATGCCCATCACCGAGTTTTCCGGCCACTGTATTCCGGCAAGATTCCCAAAAGTTCTTTCGCTTTCCGGCAGTTAAATCAGCAGCAAGAGTGCGATCTACTAATCCGTCTCCCTTCTCAACAGCTAACCACTTGTGACAGGTAAAAGTCTTAAGCTCCTGACTGAGCGCGTCATAAATCTTGATTGTGTTTAGATACCATGAAGGGCTTTCACCAGAGTTGTCATGCCACACGCGCACTCTGCGTAAGGGGCCAACATTATTCGAAACCGAGAGGGTAAAACACGTTAAGCTTCCTCTTGCAAATGGAATGAAGGAATTGCTCTTTAAATGATAAGGTCGACTGGATTCCATTTCGCCCTCAAGCACTAGATACACCTTAGCACTGGTACCAGAATCAAACCAAATGCCTGTAGATATTTCAATCTCGTATCGACAACACCAGGGTGATAAAGATCCCAAAAATGGTTTATCGCCGATCTGCAATGAACAACAAAGCGAACGTTGTTTGATAATTTGATAATTTTGATTTAAACACATTTAAAAGATGTAGAATAAGGTCATCATCTACACCTTGAGAAACATAGAGACACCTACCTTCAAAGCATCTTCCTGGTCAGCCTTCCGAACCCATAGTATAAGCATTAAGTAAAGTCCAAACACACAGCTCACTGTTATAATTACAGCTACGTTTCCGGTCTCTGAGATGCGTTGTAATTCAATAGATACTTTGTCAAAATCGATGAGGTTTGGTGCCACAAACAATTCACCTCCAAATGCAGTCAAATGGTGGCAGTGGCAATGAATCATGTCCACGGTTGTTGTTTCAGCCACCTGTTCATAATGCAAACCATTGACAATAAGAAAATACTAAATTGTCTCTATGAACTTAGTTCCGCATTTGATTTGATAAAGCAAATGGTTAGATAACATCGACACTTAACAACAATGCTCACTTACCTTACATCCATCAAACGTCCATTTAGACATTGCGGTATTCCAATAGAGACAGGCAGCTGGCATCACTTGTATGGTGTAATTTTCATCGCCTTTTCTAAAGATTCGATTTTGTGGAGACTGCCTTGCTTTGGTATCATCTGCTGCAGGCACTTCTTTATATTGCACACATGCGCGTTTTGGCCGTCCTTGACCTATGCACCGCCTCATCTTAGAAGGACCCTTTGACTTGATTTGTATTCCAATGAAGTAAATGCCTGTCTTTTTGGTGAGTTTACTGTCTACGAGTACCTTAAACGGATCAGTTGAGCAGTTGACATAACCAGACGACATCTGAGGGCAAGTTGAGAAGTTAGGGACGGTGACGTTCATATCACTATTGTTAGCAGAGGGTCGTTTCCCAAACTTAAGAGACACAAACAATTCTGTTTTGTTATTTTCTGGACGAACCTTCAGTATCAGAGTTATCCCTAGATGAGTGACGTTTATCTTGTGGAACACAGTTTCACGAGCACCAAGGGAGTATGATCGAGAGGTGTCAATTAAATTGTAATTATTGCGCAATTTGATAGCCATGGGCGTTATCAGTTCTGTCACATTTAAGAGATGCCCAGAGCTGTTTTTAAATTCAAGGCTGGCAACTCCACTCGTCAATCTCGCCGCTGAAGGATGCCACGAGTAAGATACAAAACTTGTTGTGATCATCTGAAATAAAGACGGAATTGTGAAATGTGGCCCACTAATCTATCTTTTCCGCATAAAGTAAACTTTCAACCCAGATACCTTGATTCATAAAGCAACTGAAAAATTATTCTGGAAGAAAGCCTTAAGAGGCTGTTACTGTTACTCTGATCTTCTGCTGACATGAGAATGTTCTGGTGAACAACATTTGCACTAAATGTAAATAATTAAAAAGCGGCTTTTTCGTTGATTCTTAATACAAAATCTATTTTCTACTTGGTATCCATAACCTGTTGAGACTAAGGCGGACAAAGAAAAGGACTGACTGCCTACATGTTGCAAATTAGTCAAAGAACAGATGACGTCATTTCCATACCTGGCTATCCACAAACAATGTACTGTTGCCGAACAGGTTTGAATCGGAAGGAAGTGCGAAGCTGTAGTCTTGGTTGGACAAAACAGATCCTAAGAACAAGCGAGGCTCCTCTCGTAAAATAAGTAGGGACACAGGCTGGGATGAAAGCTCTCTTGGCTTCTCACCGACTAAGGTTCGAGACAAGATGGTTTTTCCAACATTTTCCAGCGACTGTAAAAGGCTCAGAGCTCGTCCTCTTGACTATAAAGTAGAGTAATAAATCTTAAAGGCAGCTGACGGAAGCTACGATTGCTAATTATTTTAATTTTTTATTCATATTAAAATTTTGATACAATTCAGGGAGTGATAGAGGTGATTGAATCTGTGAGGTAACTCTCTGAAAATGACTTGGTTTGCTTTATGAATGGACTGGTCTGTGGATTAAGTTGCATTAGGGCTGTTTATAAGCTGATTGCAAGGAAAAAGTGCATTAATTCGGGATGCCCTCGCCCTCCCCACTCCCTCCCCGACACAATGACCAACAACTACGACCGCTTTTTTGTGACCTAGCAGGGGCCCGCTGCTTCTGAAGATGTAGAGCAAACTAATTCCGTCCATGGTAAACGTCGCATTGTTATACCTCATTCTTCGCTTTTAGCAGCTCAGCTGCAGCGTATTGCTTTGATCTTTGTTGGAAAGCAAGGTCTAAAGACCGAAGGCTTTTTCGTTGGCGGTGTACATTGGCCGAATCCACCTGGTGGGTGTCCCTTAATTCATACTCTCTTGCCCAGTGTGAAGACACCTTGAGCATGCCACCGAGACCAGCAGCAAGACTTCTTGCACCGCCCAAAAGCGCCTCGTAACTTTTCCCTGCTGAGGATTCCTCTTTCAAAACTGTGCTCATCGACTGAAGGGCATCTGCTGCTGCTCTCTGAAAGTTCATTATCACATTACGTGTTCATTATCACATTACGTGTTCATCTAGATTTCACAAACTATCATTCAAGGAGGACTCCACCTTCTCCAGGTCAAAATTGAGCTTTGAAAGTTGATTAGAAAATTTAACTTCAAAGCTCTATGGTCTTTCCGAGCGAACGAGTAATGTTTGTGAAAAAGATAGGTGCGTAGAAAAATTTACCTGTGCTTCTGCGGTAACTTCGCTAACAACCGAGAGGGCCTCGGCTATAACCTTGGATGTCTGTTGTATTCTCTCCACAGTCTCCACTTGTACAGCAGACAGTTGTTTTACAATACTGGATTTCACCTGCACAAAAAAACGTTTACGAATGACACTGACACCTAGAAAGGCTTGTCGTGATCAGCATTTCACCCCAGAGACAATTTTTCGTTCGCTTATAGAGGTTTTTTCAGTCCAAAATCACAGACCCGTTCCGGCGTACATTGTTGCACAGTCCTCATACGGTGTAAGTTTGTCAACTCGTGGATAATTAATTTCTGTGATTTTGAACTTGAAGTCCAAATTTACATTAAGTTGTTTTACAGCTATTTGTAAATATTTAGCAAATTTTCCGTCAGATTTTAAGAAGTTGCTCATGAAAACCAATATTGAGTAATTACCGCTTTTCTCTTTTCCTTGAGCTTATCCTGAGGAATTTTTTCATCAACGTCAACAGCCACAATGGCTGCTTTGGCTACCTGAACAGCCTGTGACAAGTCACCTGACTCAAGTAATTTATTGAACTGACTCTGGTTTCCAATTGTCAACTGAACAGCGCGGTCCACAAGCTTTTCTGCGTTTAACTGAAGCTGCAGCACCTGATATTAGATAAGAGGAAATGTAATCAAGAGAATCATTTCAATGAACAAATTCTTCAAAAAGAAAACGGCAGAAGCGGCACGTTGTGATGAATTTTGGCTTTTTCTTCTTTAAGAGGACGGGCTGCAAATTACTGAATCGCATCACGTACGTATGTGAAGCCTGCATTACAACCGTTTCAGAGCTGGAGCCAGTCTGCAGGTGCCACCATAACTGTATGCATCAAAAATTAGTTTCTCTACCGAACCTCCCAAACTAGGATGGTGGCCACATTTTTCGCAAAGAGGTAATAAGCATTGGTCAACATTTGCCGTTCAAAAATCTACCACTACTTCAAGACACCATGCTCGTAAAATCGACGCACGATTCTCACCTTTCGTCAGTAAAGCAATGTAAAGTTTCAAATTTTTTCTCTGTCAAAATAATGCGGCTCTATATAAAATTGTCTGAATGCTTCCGTTCTGTACCTGAACAGGTGTCTTCACCTCGGTAAAGGCTCCGAACATGTCAGCCACTCGTACACGAAAGTCGACTGTAAAGTTATTTATCTTTTTTCCAGCGGGAAGCTTTGTTTCCTTACTTCTCTCCATCCCTTTGTGTACAACGTTGGGAAAATCATCATCGGTGAAATAAATGAAGGAATACTGCAAGGGACGATCTGGATCCTCCCAGCCACTGCACGCGAAAGTAAAGGTAGTCTCCAGTGTTCTTCCAGACAGAGGGGTGACGTCACATTTTCCTTCAGTAGGGGAGCTGTAAGTGGCGAACTGGTACTCCGAGTAACCTGCATGTCCTCCGCGCCGTTTAGCAGTTAGCACGAATTTATAAATCATATTGGATTTTAGTACTCCAGGGTTTGTAACGACTCTCGGCGAGGTCAATCGTGTACGAATTTTTTCTCGTAAATCACTGACCTGAACCCATCTGGACTCGTTTGCCACACCAGTCTCAAAAAGAGTCCATTGATAAGAAAGGCCCCTTCCGCAGTCAAGCTCCTCGCAGAGTCGTTTAAGCGCTAAACGACGAGAGGGATTCACTTTTGAGTCACAATTATCTTCACATCTAAGATACGGAACAAAACAAATTAATAATGCACTATAAAAGGATATAGACAAAGATATACCTACCAAACATGTTCCCTTACGAGCTCTGGTCATTCACACAGAGACATCGATTTCGACTTTTTCGGTCTTTGCAGTGAATTCAAGTCTTTATTCGTGCCGTAAAACGGACTCTTCACCGGGCAAGGAAAGCCCTCTGTAACTCAAGCTAATACTTTATCAAAATTACTTGCACACGTCGCAGAAAATGTGCAAAATCACATTTCCAAAAGTTGTGATAGTTTTGACAAATATAGTTACTATGAGAATATTAAATGAATGTGAAGATACTACAGAAATAAACTTTATGCACCTACCGAGTTAGGTAACTCCCATCTCCTGTTGGTGAATTCTAATAAGTAAATTAATCACTCACTGCAAAATTATTAAAAAAAACTATATTGTGAGCGCAGGGTCTCCTTGAATTACCTACGTTATCTGTTACCCCCTTATATATATATGCACCATGATCGTACCATGATCGTACCTTATCTCGACTACCGGAGGATCTCCTGGAGAAATAACCACTTCCTGTGTGAAATACGCTCTTCTCGGATGCTTCTCGACCACAACTGTTATGGAATACGAACTATTCTCTGTCATATAGCCACTGTCGATCTTAACAATGGAATGGTTGCCGCCTATATTCCCTGCTCCAGTCCCGAAACATCCTCCACGGTCGAGATTGGCTGCTGAGGGCCTTGGCAGGACCACGGGTATTTCAAGTAGATCGTCGGAAAATTTTTGCGAAGAATTCCTGCATATCCAGGTAAAACGAAGACCTAAAAAATAGAGGGCAGCGCAGAGTGGTTTGGGTCAAGGTCCCATTTACCCCCCTCAGCCCTATAGTACTCTTGCTACACTAGCTTTTTGCCTATTTAGTTGAAAAATTCCGTTTTAGAGGATAGGATGACCAGTAACAGACTAGAAACGTTACCACCCGGGAGAGAAAAAAAGAAAAAAGGAAATGGAACTGAGAGGAAGGTCAACAAAGAGATGGGAAGACAGGTGCGCCTGATGGTGGAATACGAATCTTCTATTGATGAAATATCCTCGCTCTTAACTAAGAGAACGGTTAATTATCAGCGTTAATTTCAGAATGGATAAGATAGCCACCAAAGTAGATTAAAAAAGCAAATATATCCAGTATTACTTCGTGATCACAGCAAAGTAGTCATCTCACCGTAAGGAGGAGTAAAGGAATCAGGGTCACGTGACAAGGAAGCATTGAACACCAAGGTTTTATTGAATCCTCTTTCTACCTTCGTTCCTCCGGAGATATGCGCAACTAATGGACTTTCAATGACCCGGATGTAGCCCTCACTGAGGCCATATACTTGCGTTCCCGCCATTTTAACAGTCAGTCGCACCAAGTATATACCCATCGGCAGCTTGCCTCGTTTTATGAGAAATTCTGAGGAACCACCGTATCTTGAAAGAAATGGATGTCCCCGAGATTGTGAAGGCAGATCGAACACTTCCCAGTCAAATATTGTCCCATATAAAAGTTCACAATCAAGACTGACTTTTGAAGAAATTACAAGCTGATTGGCTCGGCGTACAGTCATCGAAGAGGTTATATTTGATGACAGGCCAGGCAGCTCTACGGTCGGACTTCGACATGAACGCTCTAGGGGACAAAGATTGAAAAATCTAAGGATTCTTGCGACAATACTCTCGACAATGCTGAGTTTAGAATTGGAAAGTTGTTTCCACGTTCTTACCAGAAACATAAGTATCACACAATCTTCCGAAAAACGGTTTTTGGCATATGCAAGGTTTGCTTGCATTCAGCCAGGATTCAGGTGTCAGTATACATGTTCCTCCATTTAAGCAAAGAATATCGTCGCATGGGTCAACTACAAAACCAAAGAACGTTGAAGATGAGGTTGGAAGATAAAAGTAAAACGATGAATAGGATAAATTAAATAGGTCAATCAATGAAAACATAACAGACGTGAGCTAACCTATTTGCAAGCCGCCCAACCCCTCTGGATTTTGTCACCAGTTCCCCCTTCAGCATATCTATACGAGTCGATAGGAAAACAGCCAGGCTTTTGAAATTTTAGACCATGTGATCGTGAGCTGTATTGTGGAAGTGATAGAGCTTTACTCACACATTTTTGTTTTGACTTCGATCGCCTCCGAGAAATTTCCAGAACCAACATTTGTGAAAGCAGCCACTCGGATTGAGTATAATGTGTCAAATTCCAACCCAGAAAGAACAGCAATATTCTCGGAATAGATTGAGTCATCAGCCATGGACATAGAGTTTCCGGAATCCTTCACTCTGTAAACCAGCCTGTATCCTCTGATGATACCATTCTCATATCCCACAGGGACTGGTTTCCATTCCACCACGATGGACCAAGAGTCGCTATGAACCAAACTTAAATTCATCGGGGGTGCATTGGGTACTACAGATGGACACAATGTACATGGGTATTACTAAATAACTGATAGATCTACAAAAATATATTTATTTCCGACTGATATGAATAAACTCACCGCCTTCGAACGTTCTTGCTGTAACAGCTCTACTTTTCGGTCCCTCCCCTGCCTCATTCACCGCCGAAACACGAATGACATACAATGTGAAAACACGAAGGCCACTAATGTTGTACTCGACTGGATTAAACGCGTAATATGTATTGATATAGTTGCTCGGCTGAGTAGCCAGACTGATATAAATCTTGTGCATGTGGATCTTTCCGTGGTGATGTTTTTGAGGAACAGCAGTCCAGGAAACATGCAAACTTGTGGAACTCTGCGCAGTCACCAAAACTTGACAAGGAGAAACAGAGGGAACTGGAAAATAGAAAAAAAATTGCTACTACCAAATTTTTTCACTTGAAAAAATACTGATTAGAAATCTTTTGGATATATTTTTTTTTTCTTTCCTAAAGGGTTAGTCTGCGATCTTTCAAAAATTGCAAAGAGCCAGTTTTTCTGCCAAATTAAAAGCTGAGATAACACAAAGCACCGAGAATTTCAAGATTACCACTTGGTTGTTGACCTGTTGACAAGATTACGAGCTTTACGAGGGGTTTTAGGTTAGGTAACAAAAAGTTGACTCAGAGGAATTTCCTTCAAATGTTTAAGTGCCTGTCAGTTTACTTAAAAGCACAACGGGAGTTACAATCATTTATATTACTGTCATCTCCAGCATGACGCGGATGAAATCCAAGCGTTAAATTCTTTCATCTTTTCTCTTTGCTTACTTTTTGGAAAGCTCTTAATTATAAACCATCTTACCTTCTGCGCCTGTTCGGGCCTTAACTGTGTTTTCAGGTCCTATTCCCCCGGAGCTGACTGCTGATACATTGATGACATAAACCGTATAAACAGTCAGGTTGGTCAGTGTTGTTGTATTTGATGTGTAGTTCGCACTAACAAAGTTAATGTCATTCTCTGAAACAACTGGGTTGTAACTGATTCTGTAACTGATTGGTTCTCCTTGAAAATAGTTTTCTGGCAGGTGACGCCATTTTACTGCAAGACTCGTTGAACTGAGGTTGTAGGCGATGACCAAGTCAGGAGCCCTACAAGGAGCTGAGATCAATTGAAAAAAATTGTTCAACCAAACAATCGAAGTCAAATTAATCTTAAAATACTCGGAACCTTTGAATGTGCAATATGCTCGCACTCCAGTGTTAAGGTTTTAAAAAACCTTTACACTTTGAGCTCACAAAGGTAAAAATAATCTTAATTATCAATAAACAAGAGACTCAGGAGGTTTGTAGATATGTGAGAATTTCCTTACACAACACTGTTTAGTAATGTCATGATTCTGAGTCTAGTTTTAAATAAGAAAACGTATTTTGTTTCCATAGAGTATTATCGACTCTACAGTACCTTCTGAGCCTGTTCGGGCCTTCACTGTCTTTGCAGGTCCTATTCCTCCAGAGCTTACCGCTGACACATGAATCACATATATGGTATAAGCAGTCAGGTTGGTCAAGGTGGTGCTATTTGTCGTGTAGTTTACACTCACTTGACTAACATCAATTTCTAATTCAACAGGGTGAAAGGTGATCTCGTAACCAATGGGTTTTCCTTGAAATTGTTTCTCCCACAGGTGATTCCAATTCACTAAAAGACTTGTGGAGCTAGAGTTATGCGCAGTGACCACCTCAGAAGCTTTAAGTGGAGCTGAAAATAAAACGATAACATTGATAAATTTGGTGGGAATATGTTTTAAGATGGCAGCTTATGTTAATAAGCGTATGGGATGATGTCTACTTATTGAATCAGATGCAAAATTTTACAATTTTGCAGGGTAGTCGCATGTTAGCAATTTAGATACATTTTGAGGAACGTTCGGCGTAACTTCACTTATTAAGTCAAAGTTTGATTGTCTTTATCATGATTAAGAAATTGTTTAATGAGAAAACTTTCCAAAATGTAGTGAACTTCTTCCGAACTTTCACAGACATCACAGCTTAGCATCCTTGAAAACAAAGTCTGTAAAAGGCCATTCAAAAGCGAAAGGGACTGCAAGAGAGATTCAATATCATCTTCTTTCAAACTTAATTGAGTGTGCAAAGTGTGACTTTGCACGCACGTTCTCATTCTGCATTTTTTTTGTCTTCCTTTCACTATGGGTGTTACACATCTTACCCAATGCTGTCTCGAAAATTTCGTACCTTCTGCGCCTGTTCGTCCCTTTCCTGTCTTTGCAGGTCCTACTCCTCCAGAGCTCACCGCAGACACATTGATGACATACATGGTGTATACAGCAAGGTTGGTCAGCGTTGTGGTATTCATCATGTCGTTTACGCTCATGAATTTAATTTCGATTTCTAAATCTACAGGGTGATAGGTAAGACTATAGCCAAGGGGTTCTCCTTGAAAATCTTTTTCTGGCAGGTAGCTCCATTTTACTTTCAGCCTGGTGGAACCAGAGCTATGTGCTGTTACCAATTCAGGAGCTCGAAAAGGAGCTAAAAGAGAACACAGCATTAACATCGGAAAGATGACCGTTAGTGAACGTCGCAGAAGTCAAAATCAAACTCTTGAACTAGCGGAATTTAAAAGATGACTCCCACCCCGGTAGGTTTTGATCGCAAATTTATAAAAGAGGGTCGACGCTAAAAACATTGAAAAGTGAAGGAGAAAATTTTATTCTAAACTCAATACAATACAATACAATATTTATTTGCCATATACGACATTTACACATGGAAAAAAAATGAAGAAAATTGATGACAGAAAATAAATGGCGAGAAAACCTGAAAGAAACCACGAGGCTTATAACAAGTCAGGCTTTCTCACTTAAAATAACTAATCTTATATTAGAATTACAATATGGACTTATGGTAATTAACTTTGACCGCGCACACGTACACACACACACACGCACACACATATTAACTAAGTTAGTTAAGAATTACTGCCTTACAGAAGCTAATACTTAGAGAGAAGAAATTCCTTAAGCTTTCTTTTAAAAAGAAGCGGAGGAGGGAGAACTAGTTATGTCAGAATTTAACGAATTATAAAAGTTTGGACCTTGAAAGTAAATTGAAAACTTCCTGGTGTTCGTTCTGCACAGTGGCAAACGGAAGGACTGAGCATTCCTAGTATTATAATTGTGGATTTGACTATTCAGTAAAAAAAAAAAAGTTATTGAATTTGGAAGGGAGTGTAGAGTTCTTGAATGAAAACATAAAAAAGTACCTAATTGAAACGAATGGATATCATGAAATTTTAAGAGTTTAAGTTCCTTTAAAATAGGGCCAGTATGGGCAATGTATGTAGAATTGCTTACTATTCTTAACGCACGTTTCTGTAAGGTTACAATTCTTTGAAGGTTTGACTTATAGGTACCAGCCCAAGCTAAATTGCAATAATACAAATATGGAAGGATCATAGAATTGTATAAAGTACGAAGGGAGTGAGTAGAGAGAAAAAACCTAGATTTATGAATAATACCTATAGATTTGGATAATTTATTTGCTGTTAAGGATATATGCGATTTCTCCGCTTTATTTCTTATCTACGCGGTCATCTATTGTTCCTTCAAGAAGAACAAAACATGGCACTTCTTCCACTTTTTCTTTACGGAAAGCCGCGCACTTGTTGCCCTCCGAAGTAAAGTGCTATTGTTCGTGTCTCTGAATGGACGAACGATGTATGTTGTGTAGTACGCACGAATTTTACACGGGATCTTTTTAATTTGTAACTCTAAATCTAAATCTAGGTATGTATGAGATGTGTCACCTCTTACCTCTTGCGCCCGTTTGAGCCATCGCTGTATTTGCAGGTCCTGTTCCTCCGGAGCTTACCGCTGATACATTAATGACATACATGGTATAAACACTTAGGTTGGTCAGTGTTGTGCTGTTTATAGTGTAATTCACAGCAACAAAATTCAAAAAACTCTTTGAATCAACTGGATAAAAAGTTACATTGTAGCCAATGGTTTTTCCTTGAAAATTTCCCTCTGGTAGATGACTCCATTTTACTATCAGACTTGTGGAACTTTTATTGGTCGCAGTTATAAAGCCAGGAGCTCGAGTTGGAGCTGATGGAATAAAGATAAAACGAAATGCAAAATATATTGAATATAATGATAACTGGTCAACCTTAGAGGCATCATTGTAGTCTTCGCGTGTAAATATTTATGTGGAATTGAAGATTATGTTGACGTTATACGAATTGATATCGATTTGAGCAAGCTAGGTGCGCGTCGTCGTATCGAGATATCGCCAAATAGGGCTGCAACATGTTTTGGGTAACTTACGCAACCACAAGAGCGCATCGGCCCTTAGAAACATTCGCGACCACGAGGTAAACCACGAAGCTTTCTCAGGGTTGTATATTTCACTAAATTGATTTCTTTAAGACCAAACACATTGTGTACCCGTCACAAAAATAAGCATCTTTCAACAAACCTCAAAGATTCATTGTTTTGTGCATAGAACTGATTATATTTCCTTTCTGTTTCATTTTCATGTTAGGAAATACTCCCTGGTCGCCAAAATTACCCAAGACCATATGCATATGTCTATATGTATGGCTTTGGTCTAATTAAATGGATTTTTTGCGAAGTCATTTACTTTTCTGCTGAAGTTTAGAGAAGTTTAGAGAGGATCGGTCGTTTCGTATCTGTCTAACAATATAGATCAATTCTAAAAACGTCTGTACCTTCTGCGCCCGTTCTAGCCTTTATTGTTCTTTCAGGTCCAATTCCTCCAGAGCTCACCGCTGACACATTAATGATGTACATGGTATAAATAGTCAGATTAGAAAGTGTTGTAGTGTTCGTCGTGAAGTTTACACTCACAAAATTCATATCACACTCTAAATCATCTGAGCGATAGGTGACATTGTAGCCAACGGCTTGCCCTTGAAAATCTACTTTTGGCAGGTGATTCCATTTCACTATCAGACTCGTGGAACTAGATTCAAGGACTGTCACCGAATTAGGAGCTTGAAAAGGAGCTATATGATTGAAAAAAATACACAAGAGAAGTAATCATAACCGGATTTAACAGCTGCTGTAAATTTAACTCAGTATTCACAAGGTTTATTGATTCCCTATCCTTTTTGCCACGGTTGTTCGAGAGGTTGGATAACGGTATTCACTGGATTAATCAGTGCATTTTACAATCACTTATCCACTGGATAGCAATTTATCCATTGAATAGCATTATCCGCCCCCTATACAACTGGGCTCTGGTTTTAAATGCGAGCTGATTACAGACAACAACGTTAACAAAAATAACAAACTCTGCATTTTGTTAAGGCACATGACTACATGCAAAGGCCGTATTCTCTCCATGACCACAAGACATCAAACAACAAAATACGATAAAATAACAAAAAATTAACATAAGCAAACAAAACAAACGGAAAAAGGATTTAACACAAATATTGCAGGGAAATTTATTTTAAAAGCTCAAAAATAATTCACTGTGCAATAGATTCCCAGGTACCTTCTGCGTCTGTTTGGGCCCTCACTATCTTTGCAGGTCCTATTCCTCCAGAGCTTACCGCTGACACATTAATGACATACATAGTATAAACAGTCAGGTTTGTCAGTGTTGTTGTATTTGTTGAGTAGTTCACTCTCACAAAACTGACATCACTCCTTGACGCAGCTGGGTAATAAATTATTTTGTAACCAATTGGTCGTCCTCGAAAATTCATCTCTGGCAGATGACTCCATTTCACAACCAGACTCGTAGAACTGGTCTCATGAGCACTTACGAAATAAGGTGCTTGGGCTGGGGCTGAAAGGAATAAAGTTAAATAAGACAATTTTTTTTGTCTTGGATGCTCTCTCTACCTTCTCACCATCTGCAAGTCAACGGTCATACATTCAACACCAGCCGAGGTCACGATAGCGAGAATTCTGTGGGTATCCGCTGGCAGTTTTCATTCTACCTAATGTGAAGCACCGTTCTTTTACAACTATTGAAGTCTCAAAAACGTAGGATCTACTATTTGTCTAATCAGTTTGTTATGTTTATGGTGTATCTACCCTTTAAAATTGTTCACCTTGCTCTGGCTTCGTTGTTATGTTGATGCTTTCCATCTTTTCTTCTGGGTACTCCTCACTTGTTAAACCATGAAATGGTGTTACGCCTATGATGTACGAGGAGTTACTGAGGAGACCCCTGACGTCAGCGTACGTTCGGTTCCAAGGGACCAATTGTTTAAGATAAATATTCTTCACAAGAACTCTATAGCCGAGAATGAAAGGTTCAGGAACTACATTCCACTCCACACGGACACTTTTGAAGGTCACTTCACTGGTTCTTAGCCCAGTCAGCTTGCTGACAAACACTGAAGCAAATAAATGAATGAGTGCTATCAGTATTGTGCTTTGTGTTCATTTCCATGTTAACTGTGTCAAATTTCTCTCCTACGTTCTCTATTGCCTTTTGATTCCCCTAAAAAGATCTTCCGAAAATAATGACATATGGAAATTGTTCGCGTAGTCCCAGAATCTTGCCCAAGGGCGAGGAGTAGGTTTGAAGATATATCCATGAAACAACAGTTTATGAAGACCTTAACAAAGCCAAAACTGTGGAGACACAGCAAGGTTAAGTGCTTCTTCGAAATGAGACTATACTTTCAACATTACATAGGAATTGAAAATCAGAAAGACACCAGTTGATAACTTCAAAGCTTCAAAATCCCTTCTAGCCCTTCCCACCCCGCCCTTCCTCCCCCCACCCTCTTCTCGGCAAAGCACGGGCATTTAACCGTTGTCCGTGCCTAGGGAGTTTGATATTTACTTATCGAGGGTGGGAAATTTGAACCGGAGGTGCCAAGTCTTTCCAGCGAATACAATTGTTATACCTTTAGATGTGAATCTGTTTATAAGGTTTAGGATAAGAAGTTCACTTTCGCGAGCTACTGGCTAAATAGGAAAGGTCTTAAAAAGTCTAGGTTTATAGCTTGGTCAATGTGTAGAGAGTTACGGTCGCTGATTTTGCCTTTTCCGAAAAAAATTTGGGTGGGGCATTTGAACCCAATTTTTGCCCCGCGGGGCCGGGAATTTGAACAAACCTGAATCTTCTGAAGTTTCAATGCCCAGGGGGCTCCTCGGTAGGGGGATGTTGAAACTTCTCACTAATCGAGACATTACAAATTATCAAAAACCGGAATGGAGCAAAAAGAGATTGAATGATTGTATAAATTAATGCGCCAACAAACAAACTTAATTTGCTATCAGCCAATTTTTAAGATGTTGTGAATTCACTGCTAAATGTAACAAAGCCGAAAACTAAATGGAAGAGAAATGCTCTCTTACTTGTGAGTCGATAAACATCAGATACGTTTTGTCCTCCTCGACCTCCGACACAACCTTTTGATCCATTTACTTGAGATAATATGGTGGCTAAACGTTTGTCACCGAGGCATTCACTGCCATTGCGCACAGCAAAGACTTTAAGACCACTTGACAAAGCTACAGAACTGCAGGTCATGACAACTTCTGACGACGGGTCTTGATGTTCCAATAGCCTTTTGCTTTCAACAGAGAAGCAACCAATTCGCTCCACGAATACTTGTTGGATAAAAGGGATATCAAACGTTTCTAATATATACGAAGGGAGCCATTAGTAAAAGGCTTACGCTGGCTCAATTTACCACTTTGCTTTAGTAAGAATTTGCTTTCTGCGAATCAGCATCGCAAAACGAGATATTTGAACAGTCTAATTTCGGCCCATAGTTCGGCATGACGTCAGAAATGGAATCATTTTAAGTGCTCTAGTTTACATTTCTGCTTGCTTGATATATTCTGAAACAAGGATTATTTATTGACCTCAGTATCGGTGTAAATGTAGTTGAAGGTAACACAGTTTGGTATAAAGGAGATCTACCTGATTAATACCGGTTCATTTTCAACATGTTACACCTGAACAGGTTCTGGAAGTACTGACGTATAATGAAAATTTTTTGAAGCAAACAGCACCTTACCTCAGATATTATTGTAAGCGATACAATATTTCAGAGTTACTTACTCACCAAGTTGAGGTTTGACAAAACAGTTAATTTTTCTATCACTTCCACTGTTGTCAGATGCACTTTTGAAGCAGCAGTCCCGTGCCAAGCACTGCTCTTTTGTGATGTACGGCCATCCACATTCAACTCTACCAGGAATTTCTACAGAGTCACAATTACCTAAGATATGAAAAGAAAGGATGCAACTTTTTTACCTTAAGTTTTTACTTTTTAGCTTTTTTTTTTCTTTATTTATTTTTTACTGTTGGTTGTCGTATGTCGTAAAAGGAAAGTAATTTGTGATGTTATAACAGCCCAGCCGTAAAATGTGAAGAGCAAACAAGGTCCATATCGCTGACAGAAATATTGCAAAGTTATTTTCGCAATTCATTATTATGTGACGGTTAGCTACACCGATGTGGAGTGATGATTTCAGTGCTAAAGGGGACAAAGTTAGTTGTAGCGATACTATTCTCAAAACGGAGTCTCAATTTCACGAAAAGAGGTGGTAGTGAAGATTATAACATCCTCTCTATCACATTTACTGCGAGTCTAAGAACTGCTGATACATCGCACGTGATCGCAGGCGTTTGTTTTTCTCACGTCACTGTGGCACTTCATCGTTGCCTTTCGCCAGTAGTGATGCTTAATAAAACAAGATATGTGACCATGTGACTTAATTTAGGCAAGACTGTATGGACAGGCAATTTTTAGTTTAGCCAATTGTTGCTTATTAGATTCAGTGAGTGATAGGAGAGCACAGGACACCGAGTAAACATATCGTGAATTCTCCTCTTTGACCTAAAAACCGTATATATATATATATATATATATATATATATATATATATATATATATATATATCAGTAAAGTTGCGATAGGCAAGACAGACTTTCTTGAAACATCTGTATAATAAGAAACTTTACCTCCTAGGAGTTCTTTAGCTTTCATCACAATGGTAATTCCACGAAATTGGCGCATGCTGTTGGGATCAGGTATATAACAATCCTTTGCATACCACCAAGCTCCTCTATTTATCCCTGCGCATGTAGCATAGCGTACCTGGTCGTTATCGCGATCCCAAGTGGAGAAAGCAGAATTGTTACTGTTAAGGAAGAAATCCATTATGTTACCTCGATGATTTCCAATTTGTATCCTATAACCAGTAATGGCACTCAACACCTGAAAATTCTCATACTCCAAAAACAGCATCTGTTTTTGATCATCAAAATAACCTGGGAATTCAAATCTGAGCGCATACTTCCTTTTAAACGTTAGAGCATGTATGTTGCTATTTCCGAGCCAATACCCAAAGCCAGGCTCGCCAAATCCTTTTTCGTAAGAGACCCAGTCTCTGAAAAAGCTAAAAGTAGCATTGCTGCGGCGTTGAAGCAGAGTCCATCCGCCATCAGGTCCTTCCATGTCGCACCACAACCGAATGTAGCTTTCCTTTTTGGGAACTTGGACGATGTAGGGTTTGTGTATATTGTAAAAACCATTCGAGCGTCTTCCACGGGTGAAGAGCTTTGCACAGCTTTCAGCTTCAGTATGAAAATAAATCAGTCTTTTAAAATCAGAAATGTATATAAAACAATGTAATAAACAACTTTCGCTTAGGGAAGCGGTTGCAAAAGTTATTTGCAGCTACTGAACTATCTTTGAGGCACACTAGCCTTCGCGTGGCTTAAAGAAAAACAAATTGCGGGAAATTTACTCGAGCGCACCAAACTACAGAGTTTTGCTCATTACAAGGAGCAAAATTCCGGAAGGATAAGATATACCCTATCACTAATTCTCCACTTAGAGAGTCCTCGTTGAACTAACCGCATTTGAATGCCTCCGTGTGGAGAGTGTTAATTTGAACTCCTCTTAGATGAGGTGGGTTTGCACACGTGCCAGTCACTTCAGCTCTCCAAAGAGAGAGAGTAATTCCACAGTCGCACTCCAGAGGGTTGTTGTCCAGTAAACTGTGAAGAGATTATCGTTTAACCAAAGGCTTGAAAAGTGGGTAAGCCAGCAAAACGCAAATGTAAATAAAAATAAAAATAAATAATACAATCGGCCACGGAATGAAAACGTAAAGGAAAACTTCCAAGAATTCCGTAGATAACAGATATTAAAGACGCTTTAAGCCGGTTGGAGTTTTTCAGGACATACATTTCTCCTTTTGAAACCCCCGTCAGCCGCGGGAAAGTATGAGGACTCTGTAATGTGGAGGTGACAGTTACCTTTTTTTTTACGACTAGCGGTTAAATTTTGTCAATTTTCACACCTCGTGGCTACATTTTTTTGCAGTTTTACGATTAACGGTTAACCCCATTGAGACCCTCTGAGTAACCAAACGAGTCCGCCGGAAACTTCAGTTCAATTTTCATAGATATAATCGACTACTTCTCCGTCTCTATCATTGCATTGGAAGAGAAAGGACTTGATTAACAACCAATAACTCATGAGAGCTTTAATGTGGTCTATTGAGATTCAGGCTCGATTAATATTACCCTAAAAATCTGTGTTCAGGCTTCCCATCCTCGCCCCGCCCCCTCGTCTCCCACCTCCGTACCCGCAGTAGCCCTCTTCTCCGACTCTTTCCTCCTGGCAGAAAAAAATTTATGAAAGAGTAAAACTTACACTTTCGATAGCCTTCCAAGGACACGTTCCACCTGAACACTGCCTGGTGTAGTGATTAAATTGTCTCGGAGATCCCTGTGTTGAAAAGTTATGTGAATTGAGAAAATTGGAGTATGCCGTTTTCGATTTTGAACGTATTGAGAAGACGTGGACGCCTGCACAAACAATTAAATGAATGAGCTTGACACAAGGATGCTATCAGCAACGTTCGTGAAAAGCTTTTCAGGCCTACTATGAAAAAGGGTGTTAGTAACGAATGGAACATGTTCAACGCACTTTCGTGAACAGGAGCTTTAAATGTGTGACGAAAAATTACAAAATAAGCATGCTACCTATTTATGATAGGTTGGTTAGGGTGGGTGTCGAACTGATGTATTTATGTTGGTAAAAGAAATTAACAAGACGTTGAGGTTTAACGCAAAATTCCTTTAAATTGCTTCAAAAGACTGCTAATGGCCTTCCAATGAATCTGAAATTAGTATTGAACAAAAGGCCTTTTGTGTTCTATTGTAGCTGTTACTTGCATAATTGAAGGCAAATATAAAATGCACCAAGTACCACTCTTACAGCCATTCCTTTGTCAGAAACAAAATGAAAATTAAATATTCGGTAACTTTCAATTTACTGCAGCTTAAATATCATACTACATAATTTTACTTTGCAAAGCAACATAAAAAATTATATATAGAAAATATATAATACAGTCAATTTTCTTCTTAAAGGTAAAGATATCTTGAACAAAAACAAAAGGATCCTTTTTCATGTTGGCTTAACTGGCCCATCTGGACTTTACACACTGCATGCGTGTGCGGGGTAAAAGGAAAGGAGATAGTGCAAGGTAGATGCATTTTGACTTGTAGTTAACGTAAAAATTTGTCACCTGGGGTGCAGGCGCGGCTTCTTTATTAGGGCGAATTCACGTTATTGTTATGAATGAGATTTGCTTATTCTAAGTTTTTGTTTTTATTAAAAACTGAATAAGAAACATAAACCTATCGAAATATATTTATTAATAGCATTACATAGAATTTCTTTAGGCTTTGCATTGAAAAGCTCATGTTGCAATTTATTTTCAAGTCTTTTTTGAATAAAAACTTAAAAGTATCATAGGTTTGTCTTAAATTCTTGCTTTGTGCTTCCGTTAGTCCTCTCGGGCTAAATACCCTTTCACTGAAATAAAGGTTGTCATAGGTTATCGTTTATTCTTGAAAACAAAACTTTCAATGAAGAAAGTATACCCCTTTCTTTACCACACCATTTGCCTTAGTCTTAGTTTACAGCTTACGAGCCTTAGTAGCCCATTATCGTCGAAGCTTTTCTCTGTCAGCTTCCCACAATGGAACGGCTTGGAGAATTACCACATCCTTCTGGGCAGAAAGTTATCCCATCCCAGGTAACCCACCATTTTGTAAAGTTTTTCAACAGTTGTATGGTACTTCTCAGGCTCAAACCATTTTTAAGCTGTTTAACCATGGTGATTGTATTGTGGTTGATTGTATTATGGTATGCACAATAAGCATTATGCATTTCACTTTCATGGGAATCAGTGTCTTTCCAAAAAACACAGTATGATGACTCGTGATCATTAGCGTGTAGACGTGCAAACATGTTTGACCATTGAGTCAGCTTCTACCGAGTTCAGTACACTTCTATTTTCATTCTCTCCGTGGAATGACAGTACAATTGTTGATAAATTAACAAAGAGATATTTGTTTTACTTACAACACTTTCAGAGCTTTGAAGGAGCTGAGAACTATCAGTGGCAGCAGGTTGGATATTCCATTGTTCCTTAAAATTCTGTCGATGTTGAATTGACAAAGACAGCCGGAAAACATGAATTAGATCTGAAATACGAGCTAACCAAAAATCTTAGATGCAACTCTTTCTCTAGTTAGGATTCTTATTCAAGAGAACTTTGACTCTTCTCCATAAACGGTACTTTAGGGTGGGAAGCCACAAGTCATCTTGGCATAACTGAATATTCGCTCACTATTGTAATTTGAACGATAAATGAACATGTTAAGAAACATAAATTTTATTCAGTAAGGAAAATAAGGTAAGATTTCCGCACTGCCTCGTACTACTATAATACAAATCCATAGTCCTCAAGGAAAATCTGTTGGTTTCGCCATTGTTTTCTTTATGCAAGAACTGTATGCATAATTAAGTATGTGCTGTGCTGAAATCTTACCGAAAAATGCATATTCATGTTGTTTTTTCCTAAGGCACATGTATTCAAGAGGCAGAATCAGGACAAGAGGCACTCATGGAGATGCTTCGAGAATTGATTTCATCGCACTGGCTATCACAGAGTATCAAGATTTGTTAAAGATATAGGTATATCTTCTCGCGGAATATTTTAGTAACGGAAAAATTTGAAGAAGAAATGTGCAAATGTAGCTAAAATTCAACTAAATTATTAAAAATTAAAACTTTACTACTTACAACTGCGTTGTCGTTTGTGGAAGTTGAAACGCGATTTTATCAAGTTTATCGCCTGCAGAGGTGCATTTCACAGTCACACGAAGCTCCTCGAAGAGGCATGTACAGTTCAGTGCTTCAGAGCACAAAACGCCTGAGCTATTTTCGTCACTACTCTTACCGACACCGCTCTTAGGCGGTTTGAATATCTCTGAATTCGTGGAAATAAAAAAAGCCATTAGGGTGAAGACATTAAATCCGCAGAACATGACTAACTGATGTCAACTGCTCGATTTTTAACCTTTTCACTAAAAGTTAAAACGCAGCATTTCCATCGGAACTTCATCAAAAACTAAACCAAACGACCGTGACTGAGTTACTTGTCCGCACCAATTTCTGACTTCGGTGGTATTCAGTACGCCTTGTTATATTTTGATTAAAGATCAAAAAAATGCTAATCAGTCAGAAATAAAAACTTGTTCATTAAGCTCTTCAGATGTTTTTGAAATACCTCAGTGTTTTAAAAACTGTGAAAATCGAACTAATTAACGAGAGCGATAAAAAATAGGAAAAAATGCGTGCGATTTATCATCTTCGCGGGAGAATGGGTCACGCGACGTGTGTTGCGAGTTGCGCTTGAAGTTAGACTGCTTCTGATAAAAAAAAAAAGATTTATCACTCAGAGAAATAGATTATTTATTATTTTAAGAACGGAAGAGTTTCCAGATACAGGCCACTAGTTTGTTGCTCCAGTTTAGACAGTTTGCGTGCACACAAGTGGTATTGATCTTTAAATGAGAAGACTCAGAGAAATGGAATGGTTCGCCAGCCTGTAGGCTCTTCAAGATCCAGAACCTAAAATAGTGACATCTGAAAATCCCAAGACCGATTGACGGATGATATTGAGCTGCTTTTTAAATGGTTGACGTAAGATATTTCCCCTTTTTGACCCTTGGGGACGGTTTTGCCGGCTAGCTAACTGAAGAATACTAGAAACGCCCACTGGTGGTCCAAGCTTACTACTAGAAGAATGATATTTACGTTTTGTAAGTTGCTGCGTGACGAAAAAAAAATGTATCGTGACTTGCAGCTTGTCCAAGCCGTCAACCACAGTTGGCGTGCTCTTCACTTGATTTTCGCAATCTCGACTACCTTTTTCTGTGGGTAGCCATTTGTGCCAAAAAATATCAGTCGCTAGTGATTAAAACTCAATAGTAAGTGCTAAAGTATCAATAGTTAGAGCTAAAGTATCAATCGTTTGTGACAAAACTCAGTCGTTAGTGTTTGCATCTATTTATTGTCGATTTTAACTTGAACTAGTCTCCTGCTTGTTAAACAAAGATGAACCAATCTAATCTTGCTTACTTTCATGAAATCTGTACTTCAAAACACTGAAAGAAAAGTTACATACATGGTTTTTCTGTTTAGAATGGCTTTCTGTAAGTACATAACACGTGGAGTGAAACGCCTGAAATGAAAATTCTCTACTCGGTTTCTTCAAAATATCCAAAGTAAAATAATCACCTAAAACAAAACATCCATTTGGAGCTCGTCTTTCAAAAAGTTGATCTCCCAATCTCTTAACGTTGTTGGCGTTTCGTCATCATCCACGGCAAAATCTTCCGGAAAAAACGAACTAGATTTAGAGAACCGAATGCGCGCCAAATTTGATTGACATTTTTGAGAATCAAAAGTCACAAAACTCTTTTTTCCGTTACGCAGCAGCTTACAAAACGGAAATGCCATTCTTCTTAAAGCTTCTTATTGATGTGATGCGTTTATACGCTCTAGAAGCCTTTTGCGATGCCACCTATGCTTTTCTCGATACCTCCGTAGGTTATTACAGCAATGACAAATATTGGTTCAGTCAACGCTTTTGAAAATTTGCTTAACTTTTTACTCAGCGAAGTATATGGGTAAAACTTCGGGCTTTAAAACACAGTTATTTACTGCAACTACAAATGATTTATCGCTTCATGAATGATTGAAGATATTTCACCGCTGACCACTCATATTTCAGACCATTTTTGTTAGCCGTGATTTTGTGACCCCGAAATTTCCCGCCGTTTCTGGCATTATTCGTTTTACGAGAAGAAGACCGTCCTCACGGAGACTGCACTTTGACGAGTTTTTAAACAGGTGATTGACTGTTCCCCAGGTAAGAAAAACATTTTTTGTTTGATGCCGTATTTATGTATGTATTTAACATTTTGGTTCTTCCCAAGCGACCTCAGCGTGTAGGATGCATGCAAGCGGAAAGTTTGGAGAGCATGAGAGAAGCGTTAAGAGATGCTCAAAGCGCAGCTGAGAGCTCTCCAAACTTTCCGCATGCATCCATCTCTCGATACACGCACAGCTTGAGGTATGAACCAATTGTTTTTATGGCATAGCGGACACAATTTCTTTTTCAAATTCCGTGGTCGACGTGAGATTAATTCTTTCAGTGGCAGTTTTCTTTTTCTGCTTGTTTTGCGTGTTGTACGGAAATTTATCGTGCGTGAAGTAGAAGTACACATCGTCGGTTTCTTAAAATAATTTCCCAACAAATTTATGCTGAGCTAAAGTCATCAAAAGTTTCTTTGTCTATGGCTAGTTGGAAATCAAACTTGAAAATCAGAGTTATTAAAACAACGCGCTTCTCGATAACACGCGTAAATCAAATTCGGAGCTTGTTGGCAAAGACGCTAAATTCACTTAAAAACGCTTCACAAAGGCTTAATTAACTGACAAAGAGAGAAACGAAAACAAAAAGCCAGCATTTCCCGTGAAAAGCGAAGAGGACCATGTTCTTATGGTTACTGGGTCGCCAGAACACGAGTAAGTAGCTGTTCGTGATTTTTCGTGAAGCTTGGCGGCTCGACGTTTGTTTATGATCTAATGTGAAACGCAAACCGTGGGATCAGTTAAAATCCATCGATTGATTGATTTAGGGCCTGTTTACATGGAGGTAGGAGACCCCAGGTAGGTGAGGTAACCCGTCTAGCCGTGGTCGAAAAATAAAACGCGTTTACATACAATCTTACAACCCTGAGGTGCTGGGGTGAGGTTTCTGAGGTTGTTGTTGCGCATGCAATTAAGGAGTTTGAGCAGAGGCGTCCCAAGCTCACATCTCGAGAAAGACGAAAGACTAATTCTTGGACACATATGTATTTATTCTTTTAAGCATCACGCATTGTGTTACACAGTGTTAGGTTATGCGAGGAACCATTGACTCAATACATTATATGGAATAGTTTGCGAAACGAAATATGGTCGATTTACAATGCTAAATATTCCAAAATTTGAACATTTTACACTCCTTGTGTGTCTGTTGCGGTTTCTGGTGATTTCTGCAATGAGACAGGTAGGAAATGTACAAAGTTTTAAAACATACATGTTTTGCTTTGGAGCTTTTTGCCATGAATGCTACCCCAGCTAAGCGGGTTACCCCACCTTGAGACATTTACATGGCAAATTGTCACCCCAGCTGACAGGGTTACCCTATCTGGTAGACTGGGCAACCTGCCTAGGTGGGTCACCCTACCTATCATGTAAACGTGATCATGATAAAATAAGAAATTATATGGACAGGCAGGTTACCTCATCTACTTGGGGTCCCCCACCTCCCTGAAAAGAGCCCTTAATTTAATGATCTTACATAAACAGAGGCTAAATGGAATAGTTTGGGGTTTTTTTGTAATAAACAAACCTCGTGGAATTTACTGCCATATATCTTTGATATTTCCCAATAAAAAAAAAACTCAGAATCACAAAAATGCATTTGCATTTCGAGGTAGGAGACTAATAGGTTTGTTTCTAACTGCAAGCAGAAGATAACTCAGCAAACAAAGATCACGGCCTTACAATGCAAGTGCTTTGGGCAACTGTGAGTCAAAAAGCGATGTACAGATGGAAAAAATAGAATCTGGCTTGGCCAGGCAAAGAAAGGTCTAGATTGTCATGTCAAAATTTGAGAACATAGGGATACATAGAGGATATTACATGGCCACGCAGGGATATGAATTTTATCTTCAAGTGCTGAAAGATACTTTCAGCATGAGAAGATAAAATTCATATCCCCAAGCAGCCATGTAATGTTCTGTCTATTTTATAGATACTGATGAAATTCCTACATAAAAGACAATGAAATTTCAAAAGAAACAGTCGTGCACCTGAGTGGGAAGCTCTCTTGTAATCAGCTAATCATGTTAGTAACTGTGGCAACACCAATATCCTCACACGTGGAAGATAAAAATAGTATCTTCAATGTGTGCAATGAAGATATGATGTTTTAGTAAAAGGACAAATCCTGGTATTTCATCAGATTCTATATACTGAAAAAATTTAACACGCAGAGGATAATTATAATCTTGTATTGTTTTTGTAGACTGCCTATTGAAAGTGTGTAGTATTATGGGATATTGGATGGTTGCAATTATTCTGTATCTTTCTGTGACTTAAACACCTAAAGATCTCTTAGAGGTCTTAGAGTTGACTCTTACCTTCATAAACAACTTTGACAAAAATGATTGATTTTGTCAGTTCCAGCCAAAAAGAAGATAAAAGTAAATTATGAGTCTCCAAGAAAATACTGACCTAAATTTTGGTAACCAGTAACCATACATACTTTCATTGAAACTGAGGCAGCAGGTTAGCATGTCAAAAAATAGAAGACTATGATTAGCAATAATATGATCAGTTAAACAATTGTTACAAAAATTAAATTGATCAGACCAAAGTATAACATGGAAAACTCCATCTGAAGCCAGTTTTTCCAAAAGGAACAAAAGGCCTCACAAGAGGGAAATTATTCTTCATATTATTCTCCTGTAAGGGGAGGTAGTCACCTACTTCAAATCTTATTGAGAGCAACAACTGTCCAAATAATTATTCAATATTTCAGCTTTGGGCAGGAGAATTATTTGTTTGGTTTCATTTCTCCCTTATATGCATTTACAATTTGCTTTTTTTGCAACTCAATGCAAAGTTCACAGCATCAGAAACATTTTTATGTAGTTATGAATAATGAGCCTTCTTTACTCAATCATTTTTCAGTTTATGGCATATTTTGGTATAGACACATGTAAGAAGGCCATGGAAAATAAACAATTCAAAACATGAGGAAGTTGTCATTGGTGAAAGTTGTCTTTATTGTTTTTATGAAGGCAGTAATTATGGAGAACTCAAATGATGGAGGTAAGAGCAGTTTGATGCATTGGCAGACTTTTCAACTATATTTAGAAGGTTTAGAGTCCATTGATTAGGCATGGCTGCCCTTGGATGAAAATTTTATTTCCAAGTGTAACACAAGAAGGTAGGATGGTTATTCAGACACTGGAGAAATTTATGTCACTTGTGGACAAGAGGTCCATGTAAAGTGATAAACCATATGAAAAAGATATTAATAATGCTGCCCAAGACCACAACCCATTAGGGTACCATTTTCAAGGTCAAAGTCACAGTTTTTCATTATATGGACTTACCCTTTTAGTAAGCTGATAAAAAAACTTGTATTTATTTTTTTCATTTCTCTTAAATCACTTTGGTTGCCTTTGGAAAGCTACTTTTGAGGTAGATTTTTTAAAACAAATATATGTCATTGAATGGGTTACACTTCCGGTGCTATCTAACAACTGTGTGTATATAACTTCCCAATCCTTCAAGAAAAGTTAAACACTTAAACATTTAAGCCATGACATATGTCTTTACTTTTCAATTAACAAACATTGATTTCATTCATCTTGATTATAAATCTCTAATTTTTTTGTTCTTTGTTAAAATCTGGGTAAGATTCCGATTATGCATTTGATCCTGTTTGCATGGGGATATATGATACAGTTATATGCATGTTCCATATGTCCAGATTTTTCACTTACCCCTTAAACTTCTTACATGTAAGTCCTTATAAATGTCTCAAATTTTAAAAGATTTAAAATTTTGTAAAAATACTTAACCATCCAGCTGGCACTAATTTTTCATGCAGTGAAAATTAGTAGCAGGGGTATAAACTGTTTTCTTTTTGTTGTTGTTTAAATGTGCTTGGCGAATGGTAGGGGTAGGGATAGAGGTTTGAGGTACAAAAAACACTGTACTAGATAGGTGTGACAAAACTTTGAAAAGTTTTGGACAATCTATCTTAATTTTAATATGATAGAACACTTAAGGCCATCAAGATTCATTTGACTTTTGACTGGAAAAATGTTTGACCTCTTCAAATCAATAACACTTTTAAATGAAGCAATTATAAACAGCTGAACTGGACATATATAGCGGTAAAGAGCCTATCAAGAATATGACACAAAGCAGGAAATAAGAGGTACAGGTAATCAACCTTACAAGAACCAGACAAAAAAAATCGTACACAACCAGAAACCAGCCTGACACGAGCCAGACATTAGCCTGAGACTCACCCTGACATGAGCCAGACAAAAAAAATCATTCAGAATGGGAAAATAAGACTGACAGGAACCAGACATTAGTCTGACAGCACAAAAATAAAAGTGACGTTAGTACCCATAATTGCTTAAAAAAACCAACAAAGGAGTTAATTAATAGACAAATCATAATACATGTTTACACAAAATAAAATAAGGAATCCAGTTTATCTGATCTGAAAATGAGACATTCCATTCAGCTGTGTGTGCTCTCTAAGCAAGAATTGTAAACACTCAAAGCTTTCCCCTAAACACAGAATTAAATGTACTTTTAATAGCTGTTTGATGGCCTTGACCAAACCTGTTTCCTAGAATGAACAACTATTAAGATTTCCAATTCAAAAAAACCTCATAGTAACTGGTCTGTGTCACAAAAACTGATTGAAAAATTGTTGGCCCTGACTATGGTATGCTATTCAAGTGAAAGCAAGTTTCAAGTGGTAGTGTTTATGGACATGGTAAAAAGGTTTAAAAACATTGGTTTTTCTTTTGGCTCCTGGCAGTCTCCTGTTGGGCTCTGAAATCAGGCACATTGTTAAATTACATGTCACCTTGAATATGTAAAGGTATTTAGCATTGTCTGGCTCTTATCTTGATCTTGATCTTGCTCTTGCCCTGCTCCTGTTAGCCATTTCCATTTGGTCATGGCCCAGCCAAGAGTGTATCATTTGTCTGGTGCATTAGCTGTGAGCTCTGTCTTTTGTCAGGCTTTTGTTATGTCAATGTCTGGCTCTGTGAAGGGTAATTAGGGGGAAATTAGGCTGTATTCAGGACCTGTCAGGCTCCAACCTTTTTGTTAAAATAGCCATGAAGAAAATCTGTACAAAACTAACATGTTATAAAGTGGGTGCTTAATTCAAAGGAAAACCCATTAATCAATTAAGTGAATTTTCAGTCGAAGCTTCAAAAATTGCAAAATCACTTTCTTAGAAGGTCAGGATAAGAATTTTGCTTAATTAAGTATGGGTTAAACTATTTTAAAATAAAAAAAATTGATTTCAATTCTCAATTTCTTATTAAATGTATTTTCACTTTCCTAAGCTATAGTCTTGTATTAAAGTTAAGCCAGGGCTCATACTCTTTGTTGAAATGGGAAATCCTTGGCCTTCAGTGACTGCCTTGCCAAAAATTGAAATCCATGGAACAATTAAAAATAAAAATAACATTTCTTGTGTGATTATGTGCAACAAAATTTGATTTCAGTGTGTGCATACATATGTTTGATTTATCACTAATTTTTCACATTTGATAACATATATAAGGAACTTGTTTTCCTTAAAATTTGCATTGCATAGTTCCCAGTGTGGCACCAGAAGGATTACAGCTGGTTGAAAAGAGCTCAACATCAATCATTGTCAAGTGGAAACCTATTTCTGCTAACCTTACTAATGGCCACCTTTCAGGATACAAGATAAAATATAAGAAAGTTTTCAGTATGGCATATTCTTACCTGACATGGAATTCAGATTCTCTAACTCAAGCTAACATAAGTGACCTCGAGAAGACCACTATGTATGAGGTTTATGTTGCTGGCTTTACGGAGGCAGGAACAGGACCATATTCAGCGAGGCTCAGAGCAATCACCGGTGGAGGTAATTAAGTTATTGGGAATCCATATGTATTATAATAGTTGTGTTTTATATTGGTCAATTGGAACATGTTTAAAAATTTTAATTGCTGCCAGTCTTAACAGCCACATAATGAAGATGAATTGAAGATGATCACAGGTTAAATATTGCACTTAGTAATATGTGATAATGCTTTTTCGAACTAGCACAATCACAGAGCAAGCTAGGATACTTTGATGCATTCACGGCCTATGACCATTATCAAAAACTACCATACCCAAACAATGCTAAACAAATATTAAAGTTTATACATGAATGATATGCATTTGAAAATATCAACTGTATTTATGAGACGACTAAATGAACATGACTATATGTATATCTACCTGCATTTATTTGTAACTTATTCAAAGGGTTCAAATTTGCAATCAGCTGATTGAAACTGAAAATTGGCTTTTCACTAATAGGCAACTAACCATAAGTCTGTAAGTCAAAGTTTCTCACATAAACCAATGCTCAAGAGACAAAACACCTGTGATGCAAAATTTTTGTGATTCACTCTTTTTTTGGCACCTACATGTAATTTTCTTGAGACAGATTTAAGGACACTTCCACATCTCAATCCTTGTAAGACTGACTTCACTTATTTTCAAGATTCTAGATGTAATGCTGCACAATATTCTGTTGATAAATATAGAATATATAGAGTTGTAGAAGTGCCTACAAATTTAATATATACATATAGCAGTCTTCTATATCTCTGAAATAATTAAGCCTTTACAGTGTTAGACCATGCACTACTTTCTTGTGACGTCACTGTGCGGTGTGACTACCATTCTTTTTTAGTCTTTCTTAAATAGTATTTAACATGCAAATACCACTGAATATGTGTAATTTTTCCTTAGTGGGGAAGAGGGCCCCTTACAGAGGACTTTTGGAAGCCTGTACAAGTTTGATAGGATTTTTACCTGGCAGCCTCATTTTGGCTCATAGTAGGAGGGGGGTTGTTTTAGTGGCATATTCAACCTCGATGCGAGTCAATAGGTATCAGTATTTATTGATGATTCATTTGCTTTTCAGATAGTCCCTGTGATTCTGATCCATGTCTGAATGGGGGAACATGTGTTACATCACCAATCCCATCAATCAATTCATTTAACTGTGAATGTGCTACAGGTTTCACTGGTGAAAGTTGTTCTTTTTTTACAAGTGGTAAGTAAGAAAGGGTCAGTATATATTTTAGGAATAAAAATGTTCACATCTCAATCACAAATAAATTATCCTTTCCACAGAGATGAAACAACCCCTATTTCTTTACCCCACATTAAAGCAGCCCACTTATCAAACATTAATAACTGCATAGCTAAGTGGAGGTTGGGTGCTTCCACTATTGGCAGCCAGCTCCTAGATGGAGACTTCTCCCATGGCTGGCAAATCCTGGCAACCCAACCATGAGCCCCCACACAGGAAAGGGAAACTGCACTCATCACACTGAATAAACAATGGAAAGAGGGAGGGAAGGGGTGGGGAAAACTGCCAGGACGATGAGCTGCCACTCCACACAACGCTGCAAGTTCACGCTCAAAGCACATGCAAGAGCGCCTAAAACGAAGAGCACATGAAATTCTGAAGCATGTGCATGTGCAAAAAAACCACTGACTACTAGAGAACGCCGATGCTCTTTGCTGTTAACTCCGTTAAACTGCATTTAACAGCGTTTAATTTTAGAGGCTACATGTTTATAAGTCAAGGGATAAACTAATGAATCTGTAATTAAATGCATTTCTAGCATACTGAACAAAATTACAAAATTTTACATTTTCTGTCAATGATGAGGGCACTTGTGGTAAGCAAAAGGGTGTGATTGCTTGATTCTGATTTGTTAATATTTGCAAAGAAATGAGGGGCTGTTGTTGAAATTTGACGATATAACTTTGTTGCAATGATACAAATGCCTCCTGTCTTGTTGAAGCCAATAATTTTTTTATTAAAGAACTTACTTAAAAGAGTTAAAATGATAAAACCAAAATAAGTGAATTGTCATTTGGTCTAGAATATTTGACAGTGGGTTTATAGAGGTGGCTAAAATGATGAACTTGAAAGCCACGCAGTGTTAGCGTTGATCGTAGCCTTAATTCAATTTTTTTATGGCACGAAAATGGAGAGGAGATCAGAATGTGAGAAAAGCAGCCAATAAAATTTTTTCCCAGAGCTAACAAAATGGAACTCGGAACACTCAGCTCTACGCAAAGACTAGACGACTTCAAATCTGAAAACGTAAATGAGCAAAGAATGATGTTGAATTAGTTTTTTAATTGCCAGAAGCGATTTACTGAATTGAAAGTTGGCAAACAAGGTTCTTTTGATTTTTTTTTTTTACTTTGAGCATCATTTGTTCACCGAGACGATTGGATGGCTGGTTCAGTTGAGTAACATTTATAGTGACATTGATCAGATGTCCTAGAACCGCAACGTGGATGATCTGCACATTAACAATAGTCTTTCAAAAAGTTTACCCTTAATGTGAAAAACACGTGTTCACATGTAACCTTTTGCAGTTAAGAATTAAATTACGCTTGTATTTTTAATGTTCTAAAAAGAGCCTCTATTGCTTTACAACTTGGCAATCTTTTTTATAAATTTAAAAATTAACGTGGAATTAATCCCAAATTGCCCTCAGGCCCATGTGACTACATATGCCAAGTGAGACTCATTTTGGTTACCACATTTTCCTTCCATAATTAAGTTAAGTTTACATTAAATTTTAATCAAAAATAAGTTGTACATTATGTGCATAATTATACACAAGTTGAGAAAGAAACTTTATAAAATATGGTGATGTACTTTATACTGTGATAGCTTTGTGTCACAGAATTCTATGGTAACATTTAGATCAACCCGGTTTTTCGTTTGTCTCTCGATGTAATCACGTGTGATGTAGATCGCGACGTTTCGACTGCATACTGCTAGTCTTCTTCAGGTTAAATTGACATTGGAACAATAGTGGAGAATACTTTATCAGCAGCTGATTATGTTCTGTCAATTTAAGTCACTTTTTCCTGAACTTAGGGTGAGTCAGCCACTTGAAATTGGGGTAATGGCCCATTTCCAAGTTTTGGTGGTTATTTCCAAAGCTCATGGGTGGGAATTGTAAAATAAATGGCAAGAGTCGTAGCACGCTCTACTACTTAATGAATTGTTCTCTGCAACTCTCATTTATCTCCCCAGCTCCCCCACTGCAATTTTGCCTGGTACTGGTAAAGACTGCAACTAATTAGCAACTAAGCTTATGCCCATTATCGCTCACCCAGTGGTTTAAGTCTCTAATACTCCTTAATTGCGGTATTTTAAAATTTTAACTGTTTATTGTTGTTTTTTCAATCAGACATTCGATGTCACAGCCCACATGTGAACTTGCTAAATATCTCACCAAATTTTTCTTCACACTGGAGCTTTCACAGATCAAACCAGTTTATAGTACAATCTGAAGTCAAACTGAACTGTAATTTTTCCTTTGCAACAATGTTCCTCTGGCGTGTTTACCAACTGGGTGAAGGAGATACACCACTTCTTTCAAGGAATAGCTTCTCAGAATTGCACATCACTCCACGCTTGTTGCCAGTGGGTGAATTTTTGGTTCAACTCAATGTAAGCATCAAAGGAACAGCAGTGTTTGGGGTCAGTCAGGGTTATTTCAAGGTGGTGAGTAGCCCTTTAGTTGCTTCCATTGCTGGAGGAAACAAGGTCGCTAGAGGACTAAAAAGCTCCTTAACTTTTGATGCATCCCTTTCATATGATCCTGATGAGGAAAATCAACAATTTTCAGGTCAGTAATAAGATATTATTTTAATGTCTGTTGACAAACTTTAAAGAGTCATCAGGAAATAGATTAAGGATGAAGCCTTGCATGCATAGGGAAATGAAAGTAAGTGTAACCTATTGGGCATTCAGGAAGAATAAAAATAGTTGTTGGCTCAGTCAAACTGACCGAATTTTTGCATTATTTATTCTATGCCATGCTATGCGGCTGCCATCGTAGGCCTCAATTTTACATGGCTATGCAAACAAGGGTCACCGCTGGATGTTAATAAATCAGCTGAAGCAGGATGTTACTATAGGGCTGATGATGAAGAATCTGTTGGACATGAACTTAGAGTGAACAACAGTCTTATGACAGAAAACACCTCGTACTTCATAACAGTACAGGTTACAAAGGATGAAAGGCAAGCTGAGTACACTCAGGAAGTGTTTATCGTTGCAGGCGATCCACCGGAAGTGCAAATCAGGTATGAGAAAGATAAGAACCTCGCGGTTGAACTTCACCTGTAAGTTACCGTAGTATATGTCCTTTAAGCTTTCATTAAATCTTCAAAATAACCGCGACAATTTCCCAGAGTAAATCATTATTTACTTTTGTTGGTAAAATTAGGTTTACACACATGACAACAATTGCGTATCTAAGTATGCTAAAACAAAAAAAATCGTCAGCCCAAGATGATGTTCAGAACAAATAAAGATGTTACTTAAATCACGAAACAAAGCAAAACGAGCTAGGCTTGATAAGTACTGTGTACATCTGTTTCAGAGAAAGATGGCTTTCATTATTGGGGATGTTCTTTGATTTTTTTCTTGAGCGAATTAAACTTAGGACCAGGGAAAAAGTGGTTAAATTAGAGTGGTGGCCGCTAATGTAGGTACAACCGTAGATGTCACAGATGTCACCCTTTTTAAGTGCAGATTTGAGTCTGGGTGTCAAGAAGTGAATCTGTTTTAACTGCGTTACCTAAATGACCTGTAGGTGTCTTGAAAACTGCGATGCCAAACTGAACCCATCTGGGAGAATGGCTTTACAGGGCATGTGTACAGGTGCCTCATGTCATGGTAACCTTATCTTCAAGTGGACAGTTTTAAAAGACTTGAATAACTCCTCAAATAGATCTCAGTGGACGGAGATATCAGAAGTACAAGAGTTGATAAGTACTCGAGTTTCATCAAAATCTCTCGTCACGAGACCTGGAGTGTTGACACCGGATACTAGGTATAAGTTTATCTTGACAGCACAGCGATCAGGTGGATATCGCGGGTATTCCGAGTACCACGTGACCCCAAACAGTCCCCCTGTAGGAGGAGTATGTAACGTGAGCCATACATCAGGAGTCGCTCTCATAACAGAATTTACTTTTGCTTGTGATAATTGGCAGGCTCCAGACCTTCAGTTGCAGTATGAATTTATTTACCTCACGAACAACAATCTTCCTAATGTGGCATACAAAGGAGTTAAAACTAGTTTAACAACCAAACTTCCTGCTGGGGAAAAGAAAAATAACTTTACTATCGACTTTCGCGTGAGAGTGACTAACATGCTGGGAGTATTTACTGAAATGAAGACTCCCGTACAGGTAAGAAACGAAAGCGCAAACAGTGTTGCATGTTCATCACTTTTTCTTCTGTGCCACCATGATATTCATTTCATTCAACACTTCTATCATAATGAGATGATGTAACTCTTGTTAACTATATGTAGGTTACTGTATTTAATTTTATTTTAGGTCTTAGAACCCAGCATTGAACAAGCAAACCTCTCAGACATTGTCATAAACCTCACAACTGGGGATGAGAGTGAGCTGAATTACTTAATTCAGTCGGGTGACGTGCCACGTGCTCTACAATTGACGGCGGCTGCCATTTCAGTCGTTGATGCCATTGCACTTTCAAAAACGACGGAAAGTCAAGCCCTGGAGTTGACAGAGAAACGAATTATGGTAACGATTTACTTTGTTGAACGACTTCCAGACTCTTCATGTGAAACCTCTCAAAAAAAACTCTCTTAAAGGTTTGGTTATGTACATTTTCAGTAATGTAGTTATCAGAGGGGCATGGTAAAGGTGCATCGTTGCCAGCCTGGATTACAGTTTTACTTACAGTGCATAGCCGGGTAGGGTTTTTCGGAAACAACACTTCCGTTGCACAGTGCCTATCTTCGCCAAGATTTTAAAGTTTGTAATGGCGATCTGGTGAGCTGATAAACTTCAGCTCTGATGAAGTTTTCCCTCAAGGTTTCATGATTACCAAAAAGACTCTTCAAAACACCGTATTGCGTCTCAGAAAGTGGCAATTGCCTCTTTGGTTCGCTTTGTCGCTTACCTCTTCAATTGAGAGGAGTCAAAGCTATTAAGACCATTACCTCTGCTTTTTTCAAGGTAATTTAGTATTATCAACTTAGTTGATAGTGTAAATTGGCCACAGTCAAGAGTTTCAAAACCAACGTTTCGAGCGTTAGCCCTTTGTCAGTGAATGACGAGGAGCTAAAGCTCGAAACGTCAGCTTGGAAACTCTTTACTGTGGCCAATTTACGTTATCAACTCAATTGATAATACTTAATTACCTGTTACACTCTCCCACAGACGTAGCCCCACAGTTTCTTTAGAAACTTACCCTCTTTGTTCATTCGCTTTTTTTTTTTCAGCCGTTTTGAACACTTAAGCTCACCTCGTGTCTTCTTTCAATTTATATAGATGAAATCACACATTATACAGCTGTTGTCCGCTATCCCGGTAGATACAGTCATTAGAGTTCAGCAAGTGTCAAATGTGATTGCCTCTGCCAGTTCGATCATTGACGAGGTCACCGTCGAAGCGCAGGTGATTTAGTAACCAAGCAATGCTTTGGTATCAAACGAGGATCACTTTCTAAGCTGAAATAAATAAAATTAGTGAGTTCATACTCTGTTCCTTTGAATATTTCTCCTACAGAAAGATGCAACGGATGCGCTTGAAAAAATGACTTCAGTTTTGAAGGTGGAGAGAACAGCAGGGGAAAGATACGACCTGCTTTTGGATGGTGCAAAGAGTCTTGTTCATGGTCTTGGTACCATTCTTAGAGTAGCATCACATAAAGCTAGCGTGTACGATTCGCATTCGCAGAAGAGGTCTCACATCAAAGCCTTCTTCATAACTACAGATGACCAATTCTCACGTAAGAGCCGAACGTTATCATTCAGGTCAAGAACTTCTTGGCCGTATTTATGGGCCAGAAGGAGCGAAAGAGACACTTCTGACGCCCAGCTACAGGTAAAGAACCGTTCAGAAATACGTGTTCAAAACCTAGGTTGTAAATGAAAATAAACCGCAATAAAGTAAAGGGATATTAGACACAAGATCAAATCCTTGCCACATTTCCGGGTATTAGAGATATTTTAAGTTAAATTTACCTACTTCGCAAATTAGCGCTCAAATCGTGATTGTTAGTTTGATGGTAAAATTATGGACATTAGATTGGCACCTCACGTTACCGAAATGAAAATTAAAATAAATAGCTGTTGTAAGCTATTAGTAAATAATGATGACAGCGGCCACTGTTTTTTATTGATGTTTTATTTCAGGCTCGAATTCAGGTTGAAAGTATACTCAGAGCTTTGAGAGAGGTCGGAAGTATCCTCTTGTCCCGAACTCTCGTTGGTGAGGAGCAGAAAACACTTACAGCCAACACCATGTCTCTGTTACTGTTGCGAGAGGAGCCGGATATGCTCGATAGGACTGTTTTGACAGACAGAGGAAATAGTTTTCAGCTAACTTCAATAGCCATCCAGTTGGCTAATGTTACTCAGTTTGTAGATAGCCAGGTAGGTACAAGAACTATTGATTGTGCATCACATAACTTCATTGCGAATATAGCGCATCTATTAAACTTGAAGAGCGCGCCGTGACGTTCTGGCTGGTAAGTGAATTGCCTTTATGGGTGTGTCCTTTTACAAGAGGCTTCCTCTTTCACACTTCTAAGTTGTCATTTTGATGGTGGCGAAAGGACAGTACACTCAGTATAATATAATAGCATACACCCGAAATTTTAATGAAACATGTTTTCTTTGAAACAAGGCCACACAAAATCAAACTTCACCTTATATTGTTCGTTAAATAACGTATTGTTAACTTCAGTTTTTCGACATGGCAAACCCTGTTGTCACAAAGCGGGGAAACTGATACAGTCGAACTTGTATGGAGTGGCACTGTATTAAGCGGTTAGTTGTCAAAGTCCCGAATTTGGTTCTCCTTAATCACTGTAATTTTCACCTCTATTAAGCGATCGCGGTTACCCTTTACCAAGTCCCAACAGCCTGTTTTTATTGTTCCACTAGTAGTATTTATGAGCAAGATTCTGTAAATTTTAGTAATGGTCAATTATGGCATAAAGTAGCGTTTTGTATCGTTTTTTTATTATAATATCCCAAACTAGGGGTCAATCTGTACTTAAGTGCAGGTTAAAAGCGATCACTGCACCTTTCCTGTGAGTGGCCGCTAAATACAGGTTCGACTGTACCTTTCTCAAGACCTATCCGACCAATTCTTTGTAAACTCTCGAACAAACTGCTTTGAGTGCCGTTTACTATTGCAAATCATGAGTTCTTTTCTCTATGTCTGCAGATGGTAACAACGGACTTTACACCTTTCTCTTGGGACCCCTTAGGCTCAAGATTGACGACTGCAGTTTCAAGCCTTGAACTTAAGAACAGTTCTGGGCAATTCCTGAATACGACAGAACTGACAGCACCAATTACTATAAGACTTCAGAACCTCCAGAAATTCACAAACGCTTCTCAGTCTCATTTCGTTGGAGCCAACAGAACCGTTTTCTATAAGGTAAATGTCAACCAAAGTGGGATGTCCTTGATGTTAAAGATTCGTCCGGAAAGCAATGAGACAAAGTTTTTAGTGACTGTTAAGTATGGAGAGCGGTCTTCTGTGAGTAACAGTGACTTGAATTTAACAATACCTGACCTTTCGTCTTGCGATAAAATTCCAGATGGTTATGTCAACTGTTCACGCGATCCTTACAAAGTCTTCATGAACCAGGAATTTGTAGAGAGCAAAGGTCTTGGTTATTACTTCATTAGTCTTACAGCCGTGTCAAGAATTTCTGAGATCTCTCGAGTTAGACGCTGCTCAAAGCAATCATGTGTGCAGTACAAAGAACCACCCACTAAGGGTGCAAGTTTCATTGTACCTCAGTACTGGGAAGGTGATGTAAATTACACCATACAAGTGATGCCGGCTGCCTGTCTGTACTGGAACGCGGAAATATCGCAATGGACGTCTGACGGATGCAAGGTGAAACATGAGAAGTTATGATAACCTTTGTTGTAAACTGTAAACCATGCGACGTTATATCTATTGAATAAACCCCCTCAAGCGGCTATTATGTCTGCTGATAATGTCCGCGGCTGAGACTGTCCGAAAATAAGGATTTGGCCAAGAAGCAAAGCTTCGAGGGCACATGTGAAATTTGAGGAAAATCTCTCAGCCAAGGATATTATCAACCTACATGCCAGAAACCAGAGCGAAATTTACTTATTTGATAACCCTCCCATTAATTTTCAGATCGCTCGTTGACAGCAGATTTTGTTGACCTTTTTGTACTTTCCGGGGCGGCATCAGAGATCAGCTTTCTAATGTCACGATTCCTGGACTCGACCAAACGAGTCCGTTTTCTTCCATGTAATGTAATAACGGTGAATCTAACCGTTGATGGAAACTGTTTCATTGCAGGTAAGCGAAGTGACAACTCAAGATTACATACATTGCTCTTGTTATCACCTGAGTGCTTTTGGTGGTCAGTTACTTGTGGCGCCCACTCCGATCGATTTTGATAAGGTTTTCATAGAGCTGGTTCGCTTACCGAATAGTGGAAACTTAGCTGTTACAATAGCAGTTGGCTGTGTGTTTGGTCTCTATCTGGGACTGCTGCTATGGGCAAGACGGAATGACAAACTTGATCTCGTGAAGGTAAATGTAATTTCTGATTAATACCAATATGTGCGGCCAAAAAGACAACTGGCCTCTGACTAAATCGCGGCCAGTGAGCCTTATCAGTCACACAGCTGATTGGTTCTTTCTTTGCTATCCGATTAATTTTACTTAACGAGGGTAAGCTTAGTGTTATCGCGAGCAAAGAAAACTACCCACTAGCCAACATTTCCAAGTTTGAATTGCAATTTTTCAGTCGCCGAATCTTCTCCGATCGTTAGGCGAAATAATGGCCGAGACTGGCGGTCAAAACTCAAGTTAAAAGGAAAATGTTAAGTTGAAAATGCCAACTGAGCCATTTTTGGGGGATCAAAAGGAATGGTGCGAGAAATGAAAGCTGAAAGGCGACTTCGGTTATTTGACGCTAGCCATGCTATATGAAATGCTGTCGAAATTATTGATAGTTAATTTCAGCTACGGTAGAGCGAGTATATAAACACTTTACAGAGAACTTATTTGTCACTTGAAAAAATGTTTGAAATCAAGTGGAAGCTATATGTAGTAAAGGTGAACCCTAAACCCACGCACAAGGTTTGCTGATAGTGGTCAGGAATATAGCTTATTTGCACTCTTAAATGACGGTCGCAGATAAAAATCATTCCCTTTATAAAGTCATTTTATTCCATTATAGTTACAGTTTGTGACCAGTTCTCCTTTCTCCTCTTGAAGGTGGGTGAGAGGGCACTCATAGGAGTACCCGTACCTTGGTATCACTTCATCGAGGTTCAAGTATTTACGGGCATCTGGCGAAACGCAGGAACCACTGCCAATGTTTTTATTGTACTGGAGGGAGAGTTAGGTACCAGTCGACCGTACCATTTGAAGCACGATTCGTGCATTCCTTTTGCTAGAGGGAGTATTATTTCCTTCGTTATTTCCATTCCTGTCGACATTGGCACCATAAAAACCGTTCGAGTGTGGCATGACAACGCGGGAACTAATCCATCATGGTTTTTGAATCAGATCAAGGTCAGCGATCTGTTCAGTAAGATACAAAGGAACTTTGTATGTTTTACGTGGCTGGCAGTTGATAAAGGTGATGGGTTAATAGATCGTACCTTTCGTTTCACAACAGCGGATGACAGAGGAATTAAATTTTCCTCGTATGTTCAGAACAGAATTGCTGAAGAAGTCAGTGATTTACATTTATGGTTTTCTGTCGCTGCAAGACCACCAAGATATCGATTTAGTCGCGTGCAACGTTTATCTTGCTGTCTAGTATTGTTACTGACAATTATGCTAACCAGTGCGATGTTTTACGAACATAGAACAGCGATGGACGACACACAGGGATCGCTTAGGTTGGGTCGTTTTGTTGTAAACTTCAGAGAGTTCATCATTGGAGTGGAGAGCCTTATGGTTGTATTTCCTGCCTATACTTTGAGTGTGCAACTTTTTGCTCGTACTCGATCCTCGAATGAGAATAAGCAAATGGCTCTCAAAACCAACGCAAGGACGAAATTTAGCGAGATGAAACGCGAGTTTTCCCTTCCACGCTGGTTTATTTGCGTTCCTTGGCTCTTGTGTTTTCTCCTTTCGACTTGTGCAGCGGCTTTTGTTATCTTCTACAGTCTACAGTGGGGTGCAGAAAAAAGTGAGCAGTGGCTGATTTCGGTTGCAATGTCAATTTTGTTGGACTTATTTGTAACGGAACCAGCGCAAATCATCGTCGTTGCTTTTATACTGCCTCATCTTTTCAAAAGGGGACCTGATAGGTCTACCTGGATTTCTGACCCTGTAGACACAGAGGTTTACCTCGAAGATATTAAAGTTGGCGGGCTAGGCTATGATGAGGTCGAAAAAGAAGAAAATAAAACACCAAAGCCCTTAACGAAGAGAAAATTACGTCGCGCAAGAGCCGCTCGAATGAGGGAGATGTATATGTACCAAGCTCTTCGGAATATAGTATCGTACCTACTGTACTTGTTAATTTTACTTATTGTATGTTACGGTGGACGTAGCAAGCATGGATATATGATGACATCTTCTATGAAGAATACATTTGGAGAACTTAATATGGTACGTAAATTACTTCTCATTATAGGTTAAAGCTCTCGTTTCAGACCAGCGTACTTTAGTAAGAATGGATGCTATTAACTAATGATCTTAACAGAAATTTGCAGAGGCTCGTTTCTCGAAGGTGTCGGTAACCATACGGGCATGGGACCATATTTTTAATCTTAATCTAGGAACCAGAATTGTGAGTATTGACTTAAACAACCAAGAAATTTGGTTTCATTTCCTGACTAACTGATTCTCGAACCTATCCATGCCTCGATCTTGAATGTGAACGAGACCAACAAAAATCAACTTTTTGGAGACAAGTAATTACCAAGACTTTGAAGAAACGGTTCCGTGAAGTAAATTTAGGAAACTATCGAAGTAGTTAGAAAAAAAAGCTATCAAAGCTTCTTTCAAATAGACAAGTTTCTGTCAGGGTATTTTCGTAGTTGCAAGGAACTGGTTTTTTACGGCAAAGATATAGCTGCATGAATGTGTGTCAGCTCAGCTTCAAATTGCCAATTTAGACCTGGAACGGTGCGCTAAGCACATAGGCACATGATAGAATCCCAGGGAAAAGAGCGAAGAAATGTTTAAATCCCAAGGAGAAATCTCGAAAGTACTTTTTATCGTATCAAACAAAGTAAGGGAAGTTGCTTTTGTTTGACGTCAGTTACGCGTCGATAATCTGATAGGTCACAAGTAACAACCAATCACGATCGTCGAACATTCAGTCAACTGTATGAATATTTCTTTAAATAAAAGGGGTAAGATTCTAAAGAAACTGTGATGCTGCGTTAATTAAGTCTTATCGACTTAATTACCATGAACATTTAATTGTTTAGTTACTAATTTCATCACGCCGAATATTTAGATCTCAAATCGCTTCAACACATGGAACTGGCTACGTGACGTTTTGGTACCCGGACTTTTTGAGGACGGAAAAGATGTAACCTCAAATAGTTCCAGGCTTTACATTGGAGACGGCGACGCTGTTCTCGTTGGGATGCCTCGTCTTAGGCAGCTACGAGTCAAAGAAGGTATTTTGAAGGAAGTGTTTAAACGAAGACCAAACAAAATTGCTCCCTGAATTGATCTCGTCGACAAACTGATTTCAGTTTAACTTATAGAAGCTTCAACAAGGTAGTCAAAAGTTCCTACTTCAAATCTTGAGTGGAGTAAAAAACTCGCAGAAACCATGTTCGACTTGACGTGAAGCAGATCACATTGAATAATTGTCACCATCAAGTTTGATTTGAATAAATATAATTTATAAAAGAATCAGTATCTTTTAAATTTTGGGTAACCTGCACGGAAAAATTGTGCTTCATAAAGGGTACGCAAAATCATTTCAGCACATTAGCCAGCTTCCATTGAGAAGAGAAAATGAATACCTTAATCATTAGTCATCAATTCATGAATTAATTAGCATCTCATGCACGCGATTTTTCTATCGTAAGGATAAAACAATGAACACTATGGTCTTTTTCCACTTTAAGGTTCTTGTGATGTCAGCATACAGGAATTGACAACCTCACTCAACTCTTGCGTGGCTACATATACATTCAGTAACGAGGACAAAACCAGCTCCCATGGAAAAAAATGGCGTTTGTTTTCCTCATTTAGGAATGAGTCACTCTTTAGTCTTCCTCAGGTCTGTCCAAGTGCTTGGCATTATTCTTCAGCCCAGCAAACACTAAATCTTCCCTTATGGGGAAAACTTCATCTATTTAATTTCTATGGTGAAGGAGGCTACTTGGCCGAGTTGGGCTATGACAAAAATAATGCACTGAACGTCATCTCCGAACTAAACCTGTTTGACTGGATTGACAGATTTACCAGTGCATTAATTTTTGAGTGCGCAGTTTTTAACTCTCAGGTAAATTTGTTCAGCGTGATTTGGATCCTGACTGAGTTTTCGCCAAGTGGTCTCGTGGTTTCTAATCATGTGATTCATACTATGCACATATATGACATAAGTGGGGGCTACAGTACTGTAACCATAACCTGTCAATTGTTACTAGTGGTTTATATTATATACTTTGTTATCAAGGAAACGAGGAAGATTATCATGGGAATTCGACTGTATTTCTCACGTTTTATCAATTGGGTGGAAATCCTCCAGACCATATCAGTCATTTTCTTTCTAATTGCCCACATTATGAAAGAAACAGAGCTCTTCGCTACCACAGCTGAACTTGAGAAAAACCCATTTCAATTTATCAGCTTCGATTGGGGAGTTGTTCTTCAAGACTTAGAAACGGTATTTTTATCGTTACTGATGTTTTTGAACACTTTGAAGTTGCTGTATTTGCTCAAATTCAATCCCCGTGTGAGGCACTTATTCTATGTAATGAGGGGATCTGCTCGGGAACTCATTCACTGCTCAGTTGTATTCGCTGTGTTCATGTTTGGATGTATCCATGTGGGATATATTCTATTTGGGAGAGAACTTTACTCCTTTTCTTCGCCTTTCCTCATTCTACAGTCTCTTCTTGTCGAAGGAGTCATCGGTGGCGGAGTGGACTATTTTAACGATTGTTGCACAGTCATTGGCCCTGTTTACTTTACAGCGTTAAAATTGGGACTTAATCTCATATGCATAAATATTTTCGTTTCTGTTCTTGTTTATAATTATGGCCACATCAGGGAACTCTCCAGAGGAAAATTTGGTCTCGGACACCTCGTGATATTGAAAATGAAAGAACTACTGAGTTGCGTGGGCGACCGCTTAGGGGCAAATGAAGACAAATCTGCGTATGATTTACCGAACACGGTGATCGAGGAGGATATTCTTCCTGAGGCAGCTGAGATATTGGCAAGGTTGGATCGGATTAATCATCTTTTAAATGTTCACTATGCCGAAGAATTTTGTGAAGACCTTGAACTGTTTTCTTTGTGGTTTGATCTCCACATGGAAGCTAGGAAATCCAAGGATTTACATGAAAACTGGTCCGATGTACCAGAAAGTTTTGAGTCTGCTGAGGAGGAAGATAAGGTGGAGGTAAAGGGATGAGAAATTTTGCCTTGTTTACTATAGGCAATTGATAAACGACTCGCCTTTAGGACTGTTCGAAAAACCACCAAGGCATCGTGAATCGACCTTTCAAATCACTTTCAGAATTGAAATAAGCTGTTGCTGTGAAGGAGATATCATTGTCACGTTAACTTTGGAACAATTTCAGTCATTTTTCTCCCATAGCATAATTTTATTAGGGGCTGCTTTCAAGTGCATGCACTCATTAGATTTCACTTTGCCATTTCAATAATGGTTTCTTTTACAGTGTAAGGCTTTTATTGTAGTTAAACACTCACGATTGCGACAACTTTAATTACAACTTCATCAATTGGACCTAATAGGCCTTGGAATCTTACCATGAGTGACTAACACAGTCATTTGTTGTGCTAATTAACCAATAGCATTCTTATGTCATTTTGATGTAGTAATTCTTTCAAAAAAAATTCTTCAAAGGGTGGATGATTCCTCTTAGCAGATTTACCGCTACCTTTTATTTAACGTAGTAGATTTTGTACATTTATCCGCTGGATTCCAATAAATACGATTACGGGAAAGTGGTGTCCATGCATGCAACTTGTGTTTGCTGGCCGATTGCGTTCATGGGGATTGATTCAGAGCTTATTTATTCATAGTGATCATGACCAGGCTCGAGGTGTGTAAATCGGTAAACGGATAACGTTTAAAATTTCAACCATGCGTAATGCTTTTTGGGCTCCTTTCGCTAGTATTGCTAAAGATTGATATATTAACCTCCTAAATCAATGCGTCGTTGTTTTTACTTGGTGGTTATTGTAAAAAAAAAAATCTCCAAAATGTTTTAGTGCAGTACTAACATGGCCGTGAGTCACTATAGTTTCGGTAGCCAATATGGCCGTCGGAATATCTTGTCAAAACGATCTATAGGTCCCTCTTATGACCGTGAAAATGCAACTAAACTGGTCAACGTTAGACTTCATCTAAACAGGCGTGAATTGAACTGATTAAAGTACCTGATCGCATGGACAATTAAGGACGGTCACACCCAGTGCTAGGAACCACTTCTGCTGTGCACGCTCACACTAAACATTTTTACTGCGCGTCAAGTAAGAAACTCTTGAAAGTATCAGTGCCGATGATTACTGCGACCCAGATAGTTTGAAAGTATTTTCGTTGAATACGCAGCCAACTCCAGCCTTTTCTTCTAGTGATGACTGCTATTTATTACTTTTACCGCTCTGACCAAACAAAAATACGCGACTGAAAGAGAGTTTTACAGAATTTGCGTATATCACAATGAAACGAAAATAAGCGGACGCAAGCTTTGAAATTTAACTTCCCGAGCTCAATTCGTTTGGGTGTTGTAAAACAAGGACCATTGAAGTCACAACAGCTTTTCGATAAAACGAAGTAATGCGTTTTATTTTTGTATCCGTTGATGATTATAAATTTTAATAATAAAGGGGTAAGTTCCTAAAGAAACTGCGGTGCTGCGTTGGTGGGAGAGTATAACAGAGTAATTTAACATTATCAACTGAGTTGACAACGCAAATTGGCCGCCGTAAAGAGTTCAAAAGCTGCCGTTTCGAGCGTTAGCCCTTCGTCAGAGCAATTGAAGGAATTATGGGTTGAGTGTGTGTTTATATGCAGAAAATTTAGTTACCCTATTGGTGGGAATATGGCGAAGAGAAACAAGAATAAATTATTTGAACGAAAAGCGCTCATTGATTACGCACTAGTGCCGATTTGAATGATAAATTTTTGCTCTTGAGTTTTGCGGCTTTCCGAACTGCCTAAATGTAGGGAAAGGCCGCAAACTGTCATATGCTGCTTAAAATGGTTAGGGAGATTAAAGTGTGGAATGTACATCAGCGTGACATGAATTTGATAACATTTCATGTGAACTTGCACAAAGGAACAACCCCAGAAGCGAGTTTTAGGATTCAGAAAACAAAATTTAATTCCCAAGTCAAACTTGTAAAGTCGATCGAGAGGAATTAAAACTTACAAAAACGACCTGTTAATCAAGAGAGCTACGGTCAGCTTCTGATATTCAGAGCAGAGGATTATTATTAAAATCTTATTTTTTACTTTTAAAGCTTTAAATAATTTATGCCCTAGTTATATCAGTGACTTGTTAGAAACTTAGAAGCCTACTAGGTCTTTACGATCATCGAGTAGGAACTTGTCAGTGATTCCTTGCTCCAAGTTGAAATCTTATGGTGATCGCGTCTCTGCACCTAGCTGTGGAATGACATTCCTGAAACCATAAAATGTAGTGTAGATCTTAACGCTTTTAAGCGTAATCTTAAAACTTATCTTTTTAAACGTTATTTTTATGAATGATTACATTTGATTATTATTTTTATTTTTTACTTTGATTGTGAAGCGCCTTAGAGCTTTTGGATAGGGCGCTATATAAATTGTCATTTATTTATTTATTATTTATTCGCAAAATTTATCCCGCTTATCTAGAATTCATTGAAAAAAAAGCATGGAAAGTCGGGTTGAAAATTGGATTTGGCAACCAAGGACCTATTCCACTTGAAAGACGAATTCTCAGATTTATCCCGCTTTTCTAGAATTCACTGAGAAAATAAACTTTTTTAAAATTTGTAATTTTTTCCTTTTTTTTTCATTTTTAAGTAAGACTTGCGAGCCGCACAAAGAAACACTTCTTGTAGTTGTAAGCTCCTCGTTTATATCCGACGCATTTCGTCTCTAATTGAGACTTCTTTAAAGAATGATTACAATTAACGAGGAACAGTATATTACATAGCACGTTGCCGGTGCCTAAGTTTTGAATTTCCATGGAAGTTAACAATAACTGAAAGCGTGCGTTATAAGAAACGTTTAAATACATGTTAAGTTATTGCGCATTGCTTTATTTTGGGGGGCTAACGATTAGCGCTAATCGCTGAAAAAAGAAATGGAAAATCGGGGTAAAGATGGCATATGGGACTAAAGGTATTATCCACTTGTAGCGTGTTCTCTCAGAATTTACCCCGTTTTGTTAGAATTTATTAAAAAGAAAATGGAAAACCGGGGTAAAGATTTGATATGGCAAGTCAGTAGGATAAATTCCACTTGGAGGATGACTTTTCAGAATGTACCCCGTTTTTCTATAATGAATTATTTGAAAAAAATGCATATGGAAAATCGGGGTAAACTAGATTAGATGTGGCAAGTCAATAGGATGTATTCCAGTAAGAGGATGATTTACTAAAGTTTACCCCGTTTTTCTATAATTCCTTGAAAAAATTTGAAAAATCAGAGTAAAGATGGCATATGGGAACTACGGGTATTACCCACTTGTAGCATGAATTCTCAGAGTTTACCCTGTTTTTCTGGAATCAATTCATTAAAAAATGGAAAATCAGGAAAGATCTGACATGACAACGTTGGTTATATTCCACTTGCAGGATGAATTCTAAGAAATTGTCCCGGTTCTCTAGAATTCACGAAAAAAAATGCAAAATCGGAACAAAGATGGCATTGGGAACTTCGGGTAATATACACTTATAGCATGAATTATCAGAGTTTACCCTGTTTTTTTGGAATTAATTCGTTAAAAAATGGAAAATCAGGGTAAAGATTGTATGAGACAACTAAGGATATATTCCACTTACGTTATGAATTCTCATAACTTACCCCGTTTTTCTGGAATTCATTGAAATAAAAATAGAAGATCGGGTTGAAGATTAGATATGGAAACTTAGAATGTATTCCACTTACGAGATGAATTCTCAGAATTTACCCCGTTTTTCTGGAATTAATTAGAAAAAAACCGAAAATGAGGGATGTCCCGAGTTATAATTTATTCCAATTTTAAGATGAATGGACACAATTTTGCCCGTTTTCAGAATTCATTGAAAAATTAATTTGGCATGTTGGGATATATTCTTTTTATGAGATGATTTTTTTTCTAGAATTCTCTGAAAATAATGGAAAATCGGGTAAAGATTACATATCACAAGTTGGGATATGTTTCACTTGTAGGATGAATTGTCCGATTTTACCCCATTTTTACAGAATTCTTGGAAAAATGCAAAAAACCGGGACAAAGATTGAATATGACAAGTTAGGATGTATTCCACCTACAGGATGAATACTCAGATTTTACCCCGTTTTTCCAGAATTGACTCAACAAACGGAAAATCGGGGTGAAGATCGATTATGAAAAGCTAGGATGTATCCCACATGTGGGATTAATTGTCAGATTTTACCTTACTTGTCTCTAATAAACGAAAAAATGGAAAATTAGGCTAAAGATTTGATAAGGCAAAATTGGAAACTCGGAGTAAAGTAGCATATGGGAGCTAAGAGTATTATGAATTCTCAGAGTTACCCCGTTTTTCTAGAACTAATTCATTAAAAAAAAAAAAAAAAGGAAAAGTGGGGTAAAGATTTGACATGACAACTTAGGTTATATTCCACTTGCGAGATGAAATTCTCAGAACTTATCCCGTTTTTCTAGAATTCGTTGAACAAATGGAAAGTCAGGGTAAAGATTGGACATTGCAAATCATGATATTAACCACTAGTGGAAAGAATTGTCTCGATTTACCCCGTTTTTCTAGAGTTAATTGAACAAATCGGGGTGAAGATTGGATATGGAAAAGTTATGATATTATCCACTTGTAGGTTGGTTCAGAAAATGGAAAATTGGGGTGAAGATTGGAATTGGCATGTTAGGAGATATTTTACTTGCTGGATAAATTGTCAGAATTCAATGAAAAATGGAAAATAGCGGTTAATATTGGATATGTCAAGTTGGGATACATTGCATATGCAGGGTACGAGCTATCTAATTGTTTTGATTTTCGAATGCGTTCAAAACATAGAAATAGGGATGAACAGATATACCGCATTTGTAAGTTAAATCGCCGGAATTGCACCCTTTATTCGCGTAAAAGAATATTGGGTTGGGGGTAGGTGTCGGAAAGTTACCCTCGGGTGAAGTCAATAATTTTAGCCGGTACATTGTAGAATCCCTGCACAAAGCCTGGGGATTATTGAAC